TTGCCAGTTGGGAAACGGGTCCACCGGGATGACCCAAGTATGATCACCACTGTCCCCGTTGTGGGGTGATCACGAGACTGAAACCCATGTTTACCGATGCCCGCATGTTGACGTGGATTTGGGCGAGGGACCATGCAACGAGCGTTCAGCACAAAGTTGCGCAAAGTTTCCACGACCCCTTCCTCTGGAAATTGCTTTGGATGGACTACAATACATTTGAAGATCGATTCCTCCACCATGGCACTACCCTGACAGGTTTAGGGACCTCGTTGACACCAAAATCTATTGGTTGGACAACTTCTGAGAGGACGTTTGTCCACGCACTGGGCTAAGATCAAGATGCATATCTGCTTCGGGTCGGCTCCCAGGAACAACCAAGACAGGGCACTCTGGTCACCAACCTAGCCTCACTGCTCATCAAGCAGTGGTGGAACCTGTGGGAGGATCGAATGCTGCCAGGCATGGCAAGACAGGGAAGACCAGTGGAAGAAGAAGACGAACAGCTTCAGCGGGGTGAACTCATCTACGAGAAAGGATTGATCCCAGCGGAGCTGGTGGACTTTATCTTCAAGCGACGCGTGACGAGCAAAGGCAAAGGGCCCAGGCGAATCAAAGCGTGGCTTGCAAATGGGTGCCCGTCGTCGAAAGGCACTCAGGGACGAGCTGCACGCACAATGCAGAACACTGACACAAGGTAACTACGCCCAGAAGGGGTCCTGCCGTAGAAATAGATGGCAATCCAGCCAAGGGTAGATAGTTAGCTGCAAAGCACCCTCCGGAGTTTTTAAACTTCTCCGGTGGGGGGCTTGCACTAGGCCGGTTCCTATGTGGACGTCCTTGTACGTCTGAGGTACTCCGGTTCAATATGGCTCCGTTCAGCGGGTGGTCTATTGAGGTGCAGCCTAAATAATAAAACTTCGTTATTTTTATCCCACTACAGTGTTGACGGGAGCAAAGGATAAACGGTTTCCATTGCTCTGTTCGGTGTCTTGACCGTAATGGGTCTTCCAGCGAGCGTTGGCTGAATGACTGGGTTTGATGCGACAGCCTTTGGGCCGGTGCTGGTTGTATTTGTCGTATCCATAGTGACCATGCTGATCCGCAAGAACCAGGGAAAGGTCGTAGGCACCTAGGTAGCGACCGTGCTGTTGGAACTCCACATCAGGATTCGTTCCATCTGTGTGCAACAGTGCCGCGGTTTCGACGCATGTCTTGTCCAACTCGTCCAGTCGGAACTTGATTGGGACTTCCTCTGCCGCAGGAACATCCTTGTCGTTGCTGTTGTTGCCCGTCTTCTCCTTGGCGACCTGGAGAATGGGGGTCTTCTTGGTGTTGCTGTTGTTGTTGTCGGTGGTCCATGACCACGAGAGCAGCTTGATGATAGAAGAAGAGAACTTCATTTTGCAATTGATAGGTATTGAATAGAAGATTGGTAGAAAAGGTAATTGAATGTAGGGGGGTTGATCTGGCCTAGGCTTATCAACAATCGCAAATCTTCCTTGTTCGGTTGGGTATGCAACTCTAGCAATCCGGTTGAACAAAAAAGTGAGCTCATCATGGTGACATCCCATTTTTTCACCCCAATTTTCAGATGACAGATTCTGCCAGATGGAAAACGACATGTGATGAGATGAGACTGAGCCACTGATGGGTACCAATTTCATGCTTTCTACACCCAACAAGACACTTCCTGGGCCTCACAGAGTAGTCTTGATGAAAGCTAGACCCTTGGTTAGTGTTGTGTCTGAGGGTTTGAGTGCTACATTGTGACTACAATACTCATTATTCTATCTAACAAACCCAACTGTTGCTATAGCAACATTTCAATCTCCTGCAGTTGAGAGAACTATTTCCTTGCAGGATTGGAAGCAGGCTGATTATCCAGGTTGTTCAGGATATCAAAATCCCTCACAATCTCACACGCCCTCAGATGCTTCCCGGGCTGCTGTAGTTGTTTTCTCGTCAAGGACTCTGACTCCCATTGCATGATGCTCTCTCTTTGAGACTCGAATAGCTCCAGTGGTTGTGGCTTCGTTGCTATGTCGGCTAACTGATACCTACTTGGGATCTTGTGTAGAGTAATCAGTTTCCTCGTAACATAGCTCCTGAAATGATGCATCTTCACACAGATGTGCTTCGTTCGAGGCCTCATCTTAGGTTCCTTTGCCATCTCTAGTGCACCACTGTTGTCTTCGAATACTTTGCAATGCACTACCGGTGGTTTGTCGTGTATCCTCCATTTGAGCTCCAATTTTGACTCCTCTATCAGTTGCATCATCCCAATCACGTCTCGCAATGCTTCTGACATTGCATTATACTCTGCCTCTGTAGTTGACAGAGCTACTTCACGCTGTAGTTTTGATGCCCACGTCACTGGACATCCGCCATACATGAGGACGAATCCAGTTCTTGACTTGGCAGTGCCTGGGTCCACGTCAGCTGTAGCTCGATTCCAATTCCCAACGAAATCGGCGTCAACAAACACATCAAAGGAACAAGACGTTGGATTCAGAATGATACCCTTATCTTGTGTCCCAATCAGGTACCTTCCGATCCTCTTGACTGCTGCTGCGTGAGAGGCTTTTGGCTCTGCTGAGAACCTCGCGCACTGGTGTACCGCATAAGCAATGTCTGGTCTCGTCGATTTCTCCAGAAAATTCAGCTTTCCAATCACACTCCTGTATCTCCAGTCCTGGTCCATGTCTTCTCCATTGATGTCTCGTTGTAGTTTCACTGTAGATAATGCAGGTGTCGATTGTTTCTTTGTTCCGCTTGCGAATCCCAAGTCATCTATGATCTGTTTGATCATGTGTGGCTGTGACAGCTTGATCGTTCCATTGTCGAGTGGCTCCACTTTGACTCCAAGGTAGTCCGATAGTGTTCCTTCATTAGTCATGTTGAATGCTCGATGCATTGTGCCGCTCTTGTCTTTGCAGGGACTAGCCATCGAATTGTAGGCATCATCGATCTCCTTCGTAGTGGGTGCAATGAAGATCCCATCGTCGACGTAGATGAGGAGCACAAGGGACCCTTTGTAATAGACACACATGTCCACCGTGCTTTGTTTGAATCCCCTGGCTATCAAACCGTCGTGCATGTATTTGTTCCATACTCTTCCGGCTTGTTTCTGCCCATACAAATTCTTCTCAAGTAAGAGGCATTCCTCGCCCCTGTATCTTCTCTTGTCGCTTGTTTGCTCAAGCCTGGCCTTTCCTGACGTTCGGTCTACCTCAAAACCTTGAGGAATTTCCATGTACATCTCACATTCTATGTTCGCTTGTGGAAAGGCCAGAACGAAATCCACTTGCCTCGATTTCCACCTGTTGATCAACATGAGAATGAGGAAGGTCCGGATGGTCGACCAACCCACCACTGGAGAATAGGTCTCCCAATAATTGACGAATTGGGTCTGCCGGCCTCCATGAACGTTGAGCCTTCCTTTCCATTTGTAGATTTCCTGAGTTGCTATTCTTCTCTTCCTTCTGAAAGCCCAGACCACTGGCAAGAGCTTCATGCCTGGTGGCATGTCCGATTTCTTCGCGATCTTCCAATTCTTCATTTCCTCATGCGACCGAATCTCCTTGACCATGGACTCCTTAAACTGTTTTGCGTCATCGCCTGACAGCGCCGCATCAATGTACATGATGTCTGGATTGGTCGAGGCTGCAAATGCGATTGGATCCTCCATCTCATCCTGCAAGTCGTAGCCGTCATCGTGGAACACCTCCCACGGAATTGCCGAGTAGGAGACTTCGAAAATGTCGTGATTGCGTGGACGTCGCACTCGTCGCCCAGCCCTGGTCACAGCGGGTTGTTCCGAATCCGTTGCTTCGTTGTCGCCAGCGGGTTCGTTGTCTGGTCCGTCGTCTTGGGACGTTGGTAGTTCTTCGTCATTGTCTCGTTCTTCTTGTCTTATTCCGAAATCCTCGAGCAGGACATCGCTCGCTCGCAGAGCTGGTTGCTCCTCGTTGAATCGAGTCTCGTTTCGATCGTGACTAGGCTTCGGAGTTTTGTTGTTGTCATTTTCTTCCTCCGAAAAGGGTCCACGATGGCGCTTTTCTTCTTCGTTTCCGGTGAATCCTGCCTTCTGCTGCCATGAGGACTTCGGTAGATCGTTGCCTGCTGCTGGTCTCAGCGTGTCGCAAAGGTCGTCAAATTGACAGTGGAATTGCGGAGATACTAGGCCTGTCTTCAGGCTCAGAACAAGGGCCACTTTCCTGGAGTGCCGTGGAGACAGTCCGAGGAAAACTCCAATCCTTGCCTTGTGCTCCCACTTTGGAATCGTCCTTCCTTCTTGGAGCCTCCGATCAAGCACGTAGACGGGAGACCCGAAGGTGTGTGTGTTCTTGACCCTCGGAGCAACGTCTACTCCAGAGAAGATCTCTACTGGAGACGCATGGTCGTTCCGAACTAGACTTGGAGCAGCATTCGCAATGTCATTTGCGTACCGAACTGCAAAAGGCCACAGATTTGAGCTGATTGCAGTTGGCCACCTTTGCTTGGCATGCAAGATCATGGTCCTGGCTGCCTCCTGCAGATCTCTGATCTTCTTTTCTGCCTTTCCATTCATGTGATGAGCATTCACTCCTGCATACGTGATCGACTGGCCGCACTTATGCACTTCCTCGGTGAACGCCTTGCTGTCGAAGATTCCATTGTCTGCATGGTAGTGCTTGACCGTGACTCCAAACGACTTGGCATATCTCTCGAAAGCTCTTTTGGCCATGATGGTCTGCTCGGCTGAAGTGGAAGTCTGGAAATGGACATAGGAGAGACCACTGTAATGGTCCACAAAGACTGTGCTGACCGAATACCTCTTCCTCGTGAGTATTCCTCTCATCTGACCTATCAATCCAGGTGATGAGGAGATCATCTGATCCACCCCAACGATCGCCCCTGAGAACGTCGCAGACAGTGGCTCGGCCTGATTGTTCGGAGTTCGAGTTCTCCAGGGCCGTCTTGTTGCCTTGCCAAACATGCAGCTTGCACATCTTGGGGCTCTAGCTAGCATTGGCTAGCCGCGACGGAAGATCTCCTCTCTCAGCCAGCTTGCGAATCCGCTCGAAGGATATGTGTCCGAGTCGGTAGTGCCAGGCGAGCATGTCCGCTTGTCCGGAGTTGTATTTGAGGTATTTCTCGTCTGCGACTGGTTCCTGCTCTATCGTGTGCAGGTCCTTCTTCATTCTGAAAGCATGTGTCACCTTGTCCTGGAACATGTCGCTCCTTTCCTTCTCTTGAGTCGCCTCTGGCGGCAAATCTGGATGCAGTCTGTTGTCGTCGAGACTTTGTTCATCCGAGCCATCGGAATCATTTCCGTCTGAATCATCATCGGTCACGTCAGCGGCAGCTGGCATGGCCATGAGCTCATATTCATCAATGGGTTGTCGCCCTAGATCATCTCTGACCCTTGAACAGAAGGTATGTAGCTTCGAAAAAGAGGGAGCACTCCTGACCAACGCTATGTTGCTGGACGCTGACAGCTTGATCACTCTCTTGAACTTGCTTTGCTTCCAGAAAAGCTCAACTGCGTCTTCATACGTTGCGCACCAGGTGCCTCTTCTATTGGGCGAGTTGTCGTCTGCCGCTCTGGCCCAATGCTGGGGCGATAGCAACCTGAAGGGTGTGGATGCATTGTAGTACGTATCCGGAATTAGGAAATGGTGAACCATTCCTTCTTCGTCTTCAATCGCCCATCTCACGGTTCCCTTGTACGTTGCCGTCACTGATCCTCCTATTCCCTGGACTGATACCTTGACTTTCACTGGCACGTCAATGAAATCAAGCATGCAGTTGGTGATGCATCGAGACGAGCAGTTGTCTATGGCAATGAGGACTGAATCTGTGTCGTATTGGTGGTCGGTTGAGTTCCAGTTCGTGTTTCCACTGAGTGACCAAATAACCAGGCTGAGGGCTACGGTTGGTCTTCCTTCTGTCAGTGACAAACCGACTCCTCCTTTCAGGGCATGGATGAACCTCATGAAGAGCTGAAATGTTGTTGGTGCCGAGCCATTCCTTGGTGTCGGTAGATCCCAAATCATGGTGTTGAAGTTGTTTCGTGGAGATGATTTGGTTCTCCATGACGAGGAATCCTCGTCGTCGTCGTCATCGAATGGATTGTCGCGTTCACACGGTGGTTCGGGAACTCCTGCCGTCCTGACTATTGCCAGCTCATTCAGTGAGTACAACACTGTAAGTGTGTCGCAGATGCGCCCTAGTACGTCCGACAGGACCGTGACTGCTGCAGCAGACATCCTTCTCATTTTTGCAATGACGGGCTTTGCGCCCCTTTTCCTCTTGGGTACGTACACGGGCCTCTCGGAAGGAGTCAGCGCCCACGACAGTAGGCACTTCGTGATGACATAGAACGTGGCCAGCGCTGATCCGCTTTCAGAGTACACGAAGGTGTCAATTGCGGTGGCTGTCGCGCCCAAGCACGTAAGTTGTAATAGCTGATACATCAGCTGGATTGGATGGATGAATAAAGTCGCGTACACGAGACAAGACATCCAGTGTTGATTGAATTCCCTGACCCACTCGATCGTTGTTCCTGCATTTTCAGCTGCTAGTACAGTGAGCATCAACGGTAGTTGTGCTTCACTTGCGGCGTCATCAAAGGCTGTTTCGAGTCTCATCAGGGCATGTTTCATATGGACGATTGATCCGTCGATCGATGCTAAGATCCTGGCTATGGTGAGAGCTAAGAGCAGAGTTCTGGTTGCACAAGTAACAAAGAATTGATCACTATAGTGATTACAAAATGCTATCAATGTGTTGGCCGGTTCTCTACTCCGCCACCATCAGGGATTCATCTCCACTCCGGCAGTTCCAACGTCTTCTATAGCTCCAGCCAACGCTGCCTCAGTGGAATCTTCTTCCTTGTTCATGGCAGCTGCGGCCATGGCATCCTTCTTCTTGGTACAACCGGTGCGGTGGTCTATTCCTTTGTCATTGACCTTGAGGACCCACTTGGTTGTGTCGTGGTAAGGACAGTAAATATATGTCTTGTTGTTCACTGTCTTTTCCTTTGGTTCGTCGCCCTTGGGTTCCACGAGTTTCCACGCGAACTTATCACCGTAACTCTGCTTCTGTTCTTTCTTGACAGGTGCTTTTGTGGGCGTCGTTGCAGATGGCCTTGCCTTGAGTCCCTTGATCTCCGACTTGAGAGCAATGATCTCCAGTTGCTCATCAGTCTTCTGCATCCATTGGTTCTTGCGTACGAGCGCCTTGTATTTCTCTCCAGCCATGTGCATGAGTGACTCGTAGTCAATCTGGATGGTACCATCCTCGTAACACATCTGTTTGAAGGCGATGTACTTGGTGAAGGTGGAGTCCGCACAGTTGGCATACCCTTCGAACAGACTGTGAATCATTGGAGGAGGTGCTGTGCTCCTCGCTTCGAGTTGAGAAATCAAATCCTCCACCACGAAGTTGAACTCCTCTATGTCGGATTTGGCTTCCTCCATGATGTGCTCTAGATTGATGAGCTTCTTGTTGAGGATTGCCACTGTGGCTATCGTCTCCACTGAGACCATGCTAATCAATTCGAACAGCATACAGGTACCATCTTCCTTGATGTCCGGAGCTGCTGCTGCAACGCCAGGCGCAGGGACTGCTGCAATGTTGACGTTGTAGTTGTTGCTGCGAGACGAGAGTCTGTTAGCGAGCTTGGGAGTGATTGATCCCATGATGAGTTTCCTGAGGCAAGCCGATGCTTGTTGTTCCCTCCGAGGGAGCCTTAGGTAAGTGATTGCGTGAGCTTGAACATTTGCAAGAGTGAGGCTCCCATACTGTGTGGTCATGTTCTTCACAGTTCCTGTACCATCTGGAACCATAAAGATCGCCGTCCATCCATAGGATTCTGCACGCTGGAGAATCTTCCTTAGAAAGTCTCTAAGACCGAATTCCTTTCCATCATAAAGGACTGGAAGCGGAGCTGTTGAAGCCATGAAGATCTTAAGCCCTGTCGACGAGGTAAAGTCCCAGGCATCGTTGCCGGCTCCAGCTGGTGTGACTGCATATGGAACAGCTTGAACCACTCTTGCTGGTGGACGTATCGCGTTGATCACGTCTTGGTTCTGAAGCGCTGCTTGCACCGCTGCAGTGACCAAGGCCGAGATCTGTGCAGCATCCATGACTGGTCCTGCTTCTGCTTGTCGTGCCTGTTCCCTTTCTCTCCTACGTTGGATTCTCCGTCTTGCTCCTTGGAAGATCCTTTCTTCTTGTAGGACGTCCTGAGCTCTTCTTTCCGCCCTTTCTTCTCTGTTGAGAGGTCGTGGAGGGGCTTCAGCCTCTGAATCAGAAATCTTGGTTGGTCTCCTTTGTCGATAGAGAAAGGAGGTGTTGTTTCAAACGAAATAAGTGAGTATTTGTTGGTCGACAGGCCAGCAGATACTTTGGCTTAACGAGGTGCTCCTTGACAATACTAAAGTAAGTGTAAGGAGTTGCTCGAAGCATGTAACATTCATGCGCAGAGGAAGCGTGAGGGTTTGAGTGCTACATTGTGACTACAATACTCATTATTCTATCTAACAAACCCAACTGTTGCTATAGCAACATTTCAATCTCCTGCAGTTGAGAGAACTATTTCCTTGCAGGATTGGAAGCAGGCTGATTATCCAGGTTGTTCAGGATATCAAAATCCCTCACAATCTCACATGTGTCTGATTTGCAAGCTTCCTCGTGGATGCTGTTTGCAGGGGAGCCGCGGACGAGCTGCGGTGCCCGTGACCGTTGTTTGGGTCAGGATGCCGCGGTTTCAAGATATTCGATCGAATATTCGCCCGATTTCGAACGACCGCAGTTTCAAGAAATTAGATCGAACATTTCCCGATTTCGAATAATCGTTTCGTCATTGTCCATCCGAAACGAGACAGGACAAAGAGAAGAGGGAACTGAAGAAGCGCTGCTTCCTCCATGGCATTCGAAGTCCACCATACCAACACTCTTGTTGATCTGTGCTTGGCTTGGACAGCCTTCAAGATGATGTCTGCGTTCACAAGCTTGGTGCTGCCCCTATTCCTCGCCTTGATCGATCATCGCAGCACCGGTACGCCACCAACTCGCGTGATGAATAGGAGCATGACCTCCTCCAAATCATTGTTTGTGGTGTTTTTATGCGCCATGGCGACCAGTAGTAGAGTCTCGGCCACTCCGAACGCTGTCATTGGAAAACCAATAATGATGTCCCAACGAAACACGTTGCTGCGAGTCAAAGTGTCGGTGCAGCTTGAAGCACTTCTGCCCAAGGACGACATCGGCGTGGAATACTGGTTTCTCCGAGAAGAAGACAACTTCAATATTTCGCAAGTAGCAGCAGCGATTGATGAGCGGAGAGCCTACATTGTCACAGTGGATGAACTCCGACCTGTCCAAGAAAGGGAAGACAACGTTGATGAGTCCTCCTCCTCCTCCAGAATGATTGACACGATTGATGATGACACCATCCCAGAGAAGTATTTGTCACTTCCATGGGAGGCAGCTTCCACCACGAACAAGGGCTCTCCAGTTTTCAATGGGGATGTCAGCCTTTCCTACCTATTGCCATTTCGGGACGGTTCCTCCACCACTAGAACCCTCTTGGTTTCATTATGGGAAGACAAACCACTAGGGGAAACAGATCTTCATTGGAAGCCACCAACAATGCTCGCAAGGAGACTTGTCAATATTCCAAGCGGAACCCAAACCGTTGCAAGCCGCCATCCTACAGCAATTATTCAAAGAAGTTTCGTGGAAATTGAGCTGGAAGCAAAGACGAGCATTGTTTGGCCAGTCGAGAAGTCACGAGGAAAGCAGCTGCGGGACCAACAAGGTAATTCTTGGTGGCTTTGTCCCGCTGGTGCAGTTCTCCTCGTCATGCTTGTGATGCACAGAAGCGGTGGCCTCAAGGACAGCACGGTGAAGCCTGATACTCTCGTGCATGAAGGAGAATCCAATGACGACAACGAATCTTGCATCGATCCAGCAGCTGAGATGGCCATTGAAGGTGCATACGACGGATGCGACAACCCCCACCATTCCATCTTGAGTTCTGCTCCCTTCAACGAGCACGCGTCAATCTCAGCCAACAAGACAACTAACGAGATACGTAGTTTGAACTCACCACGGGACGTTCCAGCGGAGGATCGCCGGCAAAGAGACTGGGAGACACACGTTCTGCCCAACAGCCAAGGACATAGACAATTTCTCCAGCAACAACACATTCGATTCAACAACCCAAGACAGCACCAGCTACAACCGCTTGGAACTGCCGCGGTACATTCAAACCAACATGTTGCGTCTCCTAAGATCTTGAGCCCACAACAAGCTCTGACAATCGACACAAACGCCACTTTGCGCCTCCCGCCACGGCCACTGCAATCCGCCAAACAAACAATCAACTCCACACCAAAAGAACCGACCGAGGAAACCGGGGCCATTCATGACCCAGTTCAACAGGAAACGCCGCTGATATTCGACGCTGTGATGGCTGCACAGATGCAAACGCCTGTGGACCGACATTCATTTGTTCAATCACACGACAACATGCTCACCTATAGCGACGACGGACAAAAGAACATCGATGCCGGAACAGCATTGGCGAACGATGAGACGATTGCAAGCTTCAACGGTGGAGTGTACAAGGCAGAGCCCGTGATGCAAACGCAAAGCTACGAAGCCAATGGAAGCAAAGAAACTCAATATGAGACAGACACAGCACAAATAGCTCAAACTGTGCACCAAGACCAGCAGTCAGATGCTACGTACACGTGTTGCAAGGGCACAGAAGCAACTACGGCGCCGAAGGATGCCATTATCAGAAAAGACGAAGGGAGGGACTCACCAATGGCCAGTAGGGAAGCGGCGGGAAGCGCAAAGGAGAATTCGACCAGAGAGCAACGGACTGCTGAGTCAACGGTAGCAAATCGGAAATTTCAACAACCAGGCGACGCAGGAATGACAACTCCCCAGCAAACGAACAGATTGTCAAGTCAGCGAGTTGCGCCTCAGCTTGAGGCCGGTGATTGCAATATTGCAGAGAACGATGGGAACAATGCCTGTGCTATTGCTTCGGCGACTCCAAAGAGACTGAACTTGAGCCCGCCGATGCAGAAGAGTACACGGGGCGACAACTGGCTTAAGCGACTCAAAAACAGGGCATCCATCGCTGCCAGTAGCCGCACATCGACGGAAGTTGCATCATCAGTGGGAAGTGAACAGGTGTCTTACGATTCAACTCTAGTACCGTATAGCGATGCTTCCGTTGATAGACCTGACCTTGGGCCCTGCAACAGGCGCAACACAAAGTCATCGCGACAATTTGCCAGCTACCAACGGAGTCGTGGCGAAGCAGGAGAGCCTTACAAGCTTGGTGTAAAGAAGAAGGCCCGTTCAAAAAACAGTTCAAGGGCACGACAACGGGGATCTGCGACGAGGACCAAAGGAGGAAAATGCAAGGGCAACGAGGTCGCTTGCCTTTCCCAATCTCCATCAGTCATAGTAGTAGAACCATCACAAAGGACGCCGCCTGATAGGAAGGGACGCCGAGTCACTCTTTCGGTGGAAGGATCTCGGAAACGGTCCTCTCCCGCTTCCACAGTCCCATCAGTGGAAGCAGGAGAGGGCCGTTCAGTGGACACCAGCACCGCGTCGGCGAAAGCACGAAAACGGAGGCGCAATCGCTATTCCAACGCTGACGGCATTGCTCAGGCTCTGACAGGTATTCGCCCATCCACATCCCTGGCCCATGCCGCCCAAGAGATCACTGCCCCTGTATGGAGTCTGGAGGCTTCAAAGGATGAAGACATTGGAGCTTGAAAATCCTTCATCGTGATTCTTTCAGAAAAACGGGAGACGCATTGTGTTGTAATGTAAGATTAGACAACTATGAAATCCACGATGTAGTCTACAAGCATATCCAGCTATGAACGCAGGTCCTGAAGATTGTTGCGTCCGAGTCGTCCTGGCTTCAACCTTCCACTCCCCTTCATCTGGGGGCATCAATGATGTGGTGTTTGTATATTGCTGAGTTGGTCGACTTGTATTGGACCTCGTATGTGTGCGAGGAAGTCACCGAGACTTGTTGCATAGAGGCAGATTCGCCGCCGTCCGAAGGAATGTTGCAGCTGTTGCTTGGAAGCATTCGAAGGAGCCCCACGTTCGCCCCAACCACGGAAAGTTGTTTGCTGCGTAGGTACCGGTACCGTAGGACATGTGACGATTGTGTTGTTGTCGCTCTCCCATTCGCGCCGCTCTTTTTGTCGTTTCACTCTGTTCTCTCTGTGCGAGCTCTTGTCGTTCGGTGTTCCTCGTGAACTCCATCAACTCTTGAATTTGTCGCTCTTCGAGAGCGCTCAAGTATCTCGTGCAATGCGCCGTCCACGAGCTCGATCATCTTGAAAAGGACGAGCTTTCGAACGAAACCAAAGACGACATGAAAAGACGATCTCTTGATCTCCTGCTGCTGCCGCTTCGCGGTCTTGAAAGTGTTGTCTGAATCGAATCCGTCCAGCTGTGTTGTTTTAGTCGCTGGGCGGAGACGCTTCGGGGAAAGATTGGACCAAGAGGCTGTGTATTGCTTTGGAGCTGCATCCCTCGTTGTCGCTCGGGGTGACTAGAAAAATGTGCTGTTGTTGTTTTTGCTTCATTTATGCACTCGAATCGTCGTCTGGTCAGGACCATGCCCAACATCATCACAATGGATTGTCAAGTTCTGATCATTGGTGTACGAATGAAGCAGAGTCGGAGCCTCAATTTGAAGACACGCACTGGTTCAATTATTGTCAGGCCAGTTACGCGAGCAGATTCGAGTCGAGTCTCTGTGCGCAAACAATCTCCAGCACCCCCAACCCAAGATCACCAAGGCTTGTCAAAGTTTTTTGGGGAAAAGCAGGAGGCCCTCCAAAGTTGGCAAGATGAATGAAGAGAGAAGTAGGATGAGAGGCAGCTCGACTCTTCGATAGTCGTATGTACCAATCCAGATTATGAAACCAACTCAGTGGCCGCAGATTGGACTCGACGCAACCATCATTCTCACGGCTGCCTTCTCGTCTCCTTCGTCAGACAAACATGGTACGGGAATGGGTACCAGGAAGCATTCATTTCTAGCGGTACCGTCGTTGGGGGCGACGCTTCTGGGAAAGATTCGACCAAGACCGAGTGCCGTGGTTGTCACTGCGGGGTGGCTTGTGAGCTAGGAAATGTGGTGATTTTGCTGTTGTTGCTTTTGCTTCATTCTCGTTGGCACGGGTGGCATCCACATGCACTCGAATCAATCGTCGCTTCGTCAGAACTAAGCTAGACCTGATCATCTCAGTACGGTAGCAATACGGTAGATTGTAAACTTCTGATCCTTGAGTGGGAATGAATCAGAGTCAGAGTCCGGATCAGAGGACACATTCCCCAATGGTTCAAGAAAGTTCTTCTGTTGGTAACGGAGAACCTTGGGACCCCACAGAACAGCTAGTTGTAGAGTGCAAATCTTGCTGTACTGTAGCCATGATGGAACAGATCCTTCGCGAAGAAACTGGGCTGATGGCAGCAGAGGGACTCGCTTGTGGAACCTCATCAATGGCCGAAGAATTGACTGTCACTCGACGCAACCATCATTCTCACGGCTGCCTTCTCGTTTCCTCACCAGAAAAACAGGGTGCTGCACGGGAATGGGTGCCAAGAAAGCGGTGACTGTGGTTGCTCTACAAAAAGCACTCTTCCCAAGCATGCCCTGTGACGTTTGATACCAGCCAGCTAATTCTGCATGACTTTTCTCTGTCGTCGTTCATAGATTCCATCGCATGCGGCCAGAAACAGAACCAGAGCCTTGATGCCCATGGTAAATTGTCGAGTGCGAGAGTTCTGCAAAAAAGACAGTGGATGATAGCTCTTGTTCCTCCAGACTGTCTTTGTCGCGGTGGTCTTCATTCCTTGGTACCCCGGTGGTGGTGCACTTCCTGGAACAGCATAGTATCGTAATAGAACCTGACGGGCTTCATGGCACTGTCGAAAACTAGCCGCACAAGGAGTCGCGTCGATATTGTTGCGAGAGTCGGGATGATACTTCTTGGCAGCGACCAAGTAGGCTTGTTGAATGTCTTGCTTCGGCGTGCCTCGGGGTTTCGGCAGCAAGCCCAGCAGCTTGTGGGCCTCCAAAACCGACATTCTCTGTGGCCCAAAAAAGCTGCTCATCTTTGAGTTCACTTATCGCTACGCTGTATCTACGGTAGGTAGTTACAACCGGCTAGATAGTTGAGTGAGTGCGAAAGGCGGAGTGACATGCCTCGCAACACTGCCTCGGGAGACCTCAGAAAGAGGTCGAGCTGTCCAGCTGGATGGTCTTGGTCGGTTGCCCCCTCCCTGACTGAGTCATTCAGTCGGGTGACTCAGCTACCGTAGTGTCCTCGCCCTGCGTCAATGGAGGGTTGTGTCAACAAGTCGTGGTTACCCTTAACGCTTTTAGTCGTGGCTATTACTCCGCGGGCTCCGCACCCTCCGCAGCACAACGCAAAACCGCAACAACGCAACAAACACCATCCGTCCAAGAGCAACCATGCAATCAGACAACCCTAACCAAGGGAGTGAGGCCCAGGAAGTGCCTTGTTGGGTGCTGTTTGGTAGTATAGAGCATGAAATCGGTACCCATCAGTGGCTCAGTCTCATCACATCATCACATGACGCTTTCCATCTGGCAGAATCTGTCATCTGAAAATTGGGGTGGAAAAATGGGATGTCACCATGATGAGCTCACTTTTTTGTTCAACCGGATTGCTAGGGTTGCATACCCAACCGAACAAGGAAGATTTGTGATTGTTGATAAGCCTAGGCCAGATCAACCCCCCTACTTTCAATTACCTTTCTATCAATCTTCTATTCAATACCTATCAATTGCAAAATGAAGTTCTCTTCTTCTATCATCAAGCTGCTCTCGTGGTCATGGACCACCGACAACAACAACAGCAACACCAAGAAGACCCCCGTTCTCCAGGTCGCCAAGGAGATGATGGGCAACAACAACAACGACAAGGACGCTCCTGTGGCAGAGGAAGTCCCAATGTTCAAACTGGACGAGTTGGAAAAAGATGTCGTCCAAACCGCGGCACTGTTGCACACAGGTGGAACGAATCCTGATGTGGAGTTTCAGCAGCACGGTCGCTACCTAGGTGCCTACGACCTTTCCCTGGTTCCTGCGGATCAGCATGGTCACTATGGATACGACAAATACAACCAGCACCGACCCAAGGGCTGTCGCATCCAACCCAGTCAATCAGCCAACGCTCGCTGGAAGACCCATTACGGTCAAGACACCGAACGGAGCAATGGAAACCGTTTATCCTTTGCTCCCGTCAACACTGTAGTGGGATACTCTTCTGGCGAGGGCGAACAAGAGGAAAATAGCCGTGTCTATCGAGACATGAACAAACGTGTGCCACAGGCCCGGTACGAATACTGGCACGAAGCCCAACAACAATTCATTTCTGTCGGCACACCCACACCCCACGAACGCGTCTTGGATCTCGTGCAGCTGATTCAAGAGTACGGATACCAACAAGTGAGCAAATGGATCACCAACAACCAATGGTTCCAAAGCGACAAAGCGTACCTAAAACAAGCCAAACTGTACATTCAAATTGATGCTGTGCATCAAGACCTCGAGGCACTTGTCAAATTCATCCAGGCGAAGAAAGGAAATGACAAGCAAGTCGCCCACTGGTTCATGGTCAACGAAAAGAACACTTACATGTTCGAACTCGCCATGTGCCACTTGCATCTCGGTGGAATTCAGCGCAATGCTGACGATGAAATTTGCACCTTGAATACGCGAGAACAGATTGCCAAGCGACGATTTGTCTATCGCAAGGTCAAGGACGTCTGCATGGAAGATGCAGCACCCACAGTAGTAACAACAACTAAAGACATTGAGACAATAGAAAAAGTCTCAATCGTCGACGACAACAACAAGATAGCATCCGATGCCGCAATCACATGCGAAGCAGCGGTGGTTCCCACATGCACAGCAGTGGTCCCATACGTTCAAAAGTGGCATGTGAAACACTTCAAGATCAGTGTGCACGGACAACAACCATTTGTATTGGAGATGCGAATGATGAATGGTGTGCTACTTGGAGTGGTACCCAACGACATTCTCGCAGCCTTGATGAAGGGTGGTGGAGACCTTGTCAAGGAATTCATGGGGTGGCACACGACACTACGATTGGAGGCAGGCGTTGCCTCGGACGATACGGATTTCGAATTCGTGACTGGCCAAGTGGAAGCTGAAGAACCGCTGGTCGAGGTTGAGGAACAACAACAAGTTGATGCTGATGAACCACTGGTCGACAACCGAGTCGATGAGGAGGACAATGTAGACACAGCACAATCAACTTTGCGTCGATCAAAGAGACGCATGGCGGCGATTGCATCTCAGAGAATCGCAGAACAAATCAAGACACAGCCACGGCGGGTGGCAGTTGAACAACCTAGAATTAAACGTAGACGGGCGGCGGCCACCAAGAAAAAGTCGACAAAGCCAAAGGTGAAGGGCAAGAAGAAGACGAGGACACAACCTGTGACAGACACACAGCAGCAAACAACAGTTCAGACAACAACTCTTTCTGGACGGCAAGTCAGAAAGCCTGACCGGTACATTCCAGTCTAGGACTACAGGTAAGTATGGGGGCGGCGACGGCGGATTGCACTAACACAATACAACACACAAGAGCAAGCATCTGGTGGGGTGCAGGGCTATACAACAATTTGCGGAGATGAATACAGTTGGTTCAATTGAAGGGTCACATCGAAGGTAGCCAGGTTTGTGGTTCCTGTGCTAGGCAGCCTCTATTGCAGAGTGCTTGTCCGAACGTCCTCCACGCGACGAAAGTCCAAAGTTAATACCCGTGACACCTGACAACCAACCTCTATCATTGTTGATGCTATGCTACAATCTTAAATACAAACAAACATAGACATAAAACAATAACACATAGTAGACAATCTTTACAAACAAAATCATGGCTTCATTCTTTATAGTAGTTGTAGTCGTACTAGCTAGTAGTTCATAATCATAGTAGCGTCCATTTTTCTGGATCCTTGTATCCTAAGGTGTCCATGTCAATTCGACAAGCAGCAGAGTCCCCATGAGAGGACACCCTTGATCGGCCAAAATCGGTATATCCATCGCCGACCATGAGGATACCATCAGTGAGCTGAAATCGACACCAACCCAAAGCAACTGGCGGCTATGGTCCACCCTGAATATCAAGGGTTTTAGAGCAGGGAACTACCGGTACCGGTTCCCGTAGGGTAGACTGTAGTGTGCAGTCAATTGGAGGAAGGTGTACCGAAACCCTGCCAGCTTGCTTCCTTCTTGGTCTGAATCTCTTCTGGTCAAGATGAAGAAAAAGGGCGAATCCAGCCAAACTACCAGGTACTAAGCAAGCTCCCGACCAAATCAAATCACAGATAGGGATATCCATCGTAAAGAATCGAATGAGTAGATGCGGCAACGGAGCAATTGGTTCAAAGCGCGCTTGCGCTTAATCTTCTGCCTGTTGGTACGAGTATTTGCACCCGCGTGACGACTTTAGCGAAAGCAATGATCTATTGCATCACGTACGTTAAATGCTGGTGTAAACAAATGAAGAGCCATGGTGGACACCAAGCAGCGCGGAATTAGCAGCAAACTGCACTGCTTTTTTAAAACCACTATTACGTCCAAGCGAGTGGAACGGATCGCTGAATTGAAACCATGGGAGGATGCACCGTCATGGGACGGGTACGGTAGCATTGTCGTGGTAGTTCCATCATCCAGGAAGTGATCGTGGGCCCTTCCCCTGCGTCGAGTAGTTCATCAGGAGCCGGGTCTTGGCCTAACGAAAGCCATCGATGTAAGCGGCGCTGATAGTCTACGCTGGGAGGCATGATACTGTCGTGTGACACTCTGGCGAGGGTACATGATTCGCTGTAAAGATACCCAACTAAATCTCTCGGTTCAAGAGACAAGCTCCGCATTCTGTCCCTGCCCCGAAAGGCAGGTCCCAAGGGACCGAATTCATTCACAATCGTCTGGTGACCCCACTGCCGTGACATGGAGTAGGGATCCTGGTGCACCCTTATCGCTTCCAACTGACCAAATAATGTTGTTGATTGGTGTGTCCCTTGCATTGGTTGCCTTGCTTCGGCAACGAAGCAGTACGGGGGTTGCACATACTCCAAATCCATGCCATCGGTACGGCAGGTGATGCCACAGATGGGAGTCAGCTTGTAGTGTTGTAGCTGTTGGACCGTCATTGGCCAGGTGCGCAAAAATGTGCTGTGTAAAAAGACCCACTGTCGGTACGCCTTCAAGGAGCTACTAGCATCATTATTCGACCCTTGTGGATCCACCATCCGAGCAGACTGTGCTGTCGAAACGCCAACCATCCGTAACCACTGTTTCATGTTGGTTGGTCCTTCCACCAACCCTGCCACGGAATGACCCATTAGGTAGTAGGCAACCAGAACATCTCCCAGATATTGATCCAATGTGACGGTCAGATTCATATGGTCTACGGCAGCATGATGTGTTGTGGCCCAGCCTCGATCCGCTCGTGTTGGTTCGCATCTCACGGTGGATTTTGCCAGAATCCTGTCGTGCAGTTGATGTGATTTCATGACGGATTTCAGAAAGGACAAACAGGTGTCGAAATTGACGTCGGGTCCTGACACTGTAGTAGTAGCATCGGCAAGTTCCAGTTTTAGATCTTGCACAAGCTCTCGCAATGCATCATTCGACGGGTGAGTAGATGGCAATGCCCGATAGAGGCCTTCTAGTCGCTCCTTTACACTTGGTAGGGTATGCCATCCTTTGTGGCTTTCTGGCTGCAACAGTACCTCTGGCTCCACAGATGATGGTACCGTAATATCCTTGAATGAAGCAACACAACAGCCTCGATACCCCTTTCGTTCGTAAAATTGTTCCTTCCGTATTTGCTTCAAGTGGGGGAGGACATCTACCAAGGCGAGCTTGGACACTTGGCTGTATCGCAAACAGTCGCAGAGGGACAGGTATCCTAGCACGTGATTCTTGGCATCCGTGGAGAGCCCGAAGAGTGGCGAACAAGTCGACGCCATGATGCCAAAAAGGAAGGATTACAATAGTATTAATTAGCAGGGGGGTCGTTTCCAAAGTCAAGCCCGCGGCAAAGCTTCTATTAGCCTACTATATAGCTAGCCAGCCTCTACTCGCAGCATTACAGTAGGGGTAGATTGGTGTTCAATGAACGTCGCCCCGAGTTTGGTATCTTCGTGGACTCGATCACTCAGTGATCGAGTCGAGTCCACTGCCATTGTGATGTGCTGTTGGAACAGCTGGCATTGAATTCTACAGTACCCGGTACCGGAACTCGAGGTTTCACTGAGTCGAGTGACGAGTCGAGTCGAGTCGAGTCGAGTCAAACCGGAGCACAGACTAGACCATGATTTTCTAGTACATGTACATGTACATGTACTAGTACAGTCGTACCCTCCAAGCCTGAGAGCGTGTCCACACTGGGTTTGAAGCATCAAAGAATCCAAGTTGTCAAATCCAAGTTGGAAGAGGAAAAGGCCATTTCTACTCATCAAAATCCAGACCACAAACTTCCAATCCAAGTTTGGTGGGCAACTTTGTGATAGGAGTTGCCCACGGCATGGAAGTCAAGTTGTGAACCAAGTTGTAAAACGTCGGATTTTATGTGCAATTACTTAGAAAGATTAAAATATTCAAAAAGGGCGCTAAAGTGAACAATGCACATTTTGACACATTTACTTGGATGAAGCATTGAAACTGTCTGGAGAGGGTGTCCAAGTTAACATGGTGCCAACGTTTAAAGAGCCTCTCCGAAAGTTCCAATCCAAGTTGTGTGGACTGCTCGAAAGTGAGTCTCAGACTTGTTTATTTGTCTGCCTGATGTGTAGGCTATAATCCTGCCAGACGATTGTGGAACAGACCTTTAAGGTCACTTTTTGATCAGCCCGGCAGCTCCAGACTTGTTTTTTTGTCTGGAAGAGAGGTTTATTAGAAGGGTAGTTCCGGTACTAATAAAGCTCACTCTCATGACAGCTTCTTTTAAAAACCAGTTTTGTCCAGCTACCCTAGCTAGGATCTCGTCCCGAATGCGAACTTTGGCAATTTGGCTTTGTGCAGAGAAAACATCTTGACCTCACACCGCACATACATTCATATCTGATCACCGCAGCTTGCAAGATGAAATTCGGACTTGCGGCAATCTTGTGCTTCGGGCTAGCCAGCAGTGGCGGAGGATCCATATTGCGTGGATCCGGTGATGAGGCTGGTGCCCAACAAGGAACCGAGGCTGGAGAGGTGAGACTTCAGTTCTTTTTCTGACAGATGCCATGAGTTTTCTTGCTTCTCCATCTTACTTCCCACTGACACTGTGTTTACACCGTTTGAAAACTTGATGTCTCTCAAGCATTTGGTTACCAGCGGCGATGATGGCAATCCCGCAGCAGGGATTAAGTCTCGTTCTCTCCAGGGTTGCCCTGCTACTCGTTGTGGATCATCTTGGCCTGATGCAAATTCAAAATGTGGCACAGAGTGTGCTGCCTGGCCCAATACAGATTGGGATGCATGCCCAAGTGGAGAACATTGCTTTGGTGACTTGGACGCCACTTTGAGCTGCTGCACCAGTGCCCCTCAACCACGGCGTCCCTCTTCAACACCATCAATTTGGGTTTGGCATTGGTATTGGCGGTAGATTGCGATTTTCCTCAAGCTCCTCAGGTGACCACAAGTACCTCCGAGGCGTCTTTTTGGGGGATGTGGCGCAGGACAAAAGCGATGGTTGGGCGCTCGTAAACGCATTTGCGCCCCACTTTGCTTGACTTTGGTCAGCTCGATTTGATGCACTGGTTTGTTGTGGTGGAAATAAGAATTGCATGGATGTATATCTTTGAAGCGACGAAGGGCCAACTGACTAGCTGGTATGGTATGGTCTGTTGAAAGTAAAGACAGGCAATGGCCGGGCCAAACAAAAGAAAAAGAGAAAACGCGCCCGAGGGGCGTAAAATGAAAGAAAAAATAAAGATACATTTTCACATGCGGGCACAGTAGGGCCAAGGTTTTAGGGCCGTATCTTCGAAGGATCTTTGGAACCTGCCAAGATCTGAGCACCACACGATGATGCAGCGGTAGAATGATGGTTGGTGGTTGGCTATTGCCTGTATTTGTTGGCCCCGCATACACACCGTACCTTCCCAACTAACCCATTCAGCTATGAAGAAGAAGAAGAAAGCCAAGAATGGTCGGCTGTCCAGCAGAGTTGGTCCGCGAGATTCGATTCAGCTTCCCGCATCCTTTGCTTCCTTGCAGCTACTTGCTCAAGAGCACAACCTCTATGTGTTGCAGAAGTTTCTGAACGACACAGCTGCGTTGGTTCAATCGTCCAAAAAGGAAGGAAAGTTGGAATCCTTGTCACGGATGCTTGAATCTGCATGCAATGATGAGAGGTACAAGCCGCGCGCAAATTCAACCGCCGCCACCCAGCACTCTTTGAATAGCTTTTGCAGCGATTTGAGCCAAGCCTTTGCTCTCTACGATAGATGTAATTCCTCCTATACGGATTCCATCCTCCACGACAAAGACAAGTTGCAACACGCAACTAGTTTATTGGCAAGTAGAGGTATTTTTGACATGGGATTGCAAGTTTTTAGAGTGCAACACAACTTCTTGGAACGGGTGGCACAAGAAAACAATCACAAGACAGAAGCAGACATACGAAAGCTCGAAAAACAAAAACCTCTCGACAATGAGCATAGAAAAATGGAAGTAGGCTTTGAAAAAGCAAAGAAACTGGCTGCATCTCTAGTAGATGCAGAACAAGCAAACGAATTGGGCAAACAGGCTTGGAGAGACAAATTTATGTGGCGCGCAGAGCTCTTCTGGGAACGAGCAACACAACTATCCCCCAACTCTTCTCAGGCAAAGTACTGGAGCAATCTTGCTTTCGTTAGGATCCATATTGGAAGGTACCTGAGAAGTCTTGTAATTGGATACCGAGTATTGGCGCAGAATATGATTGAAGCTGCTTTGCTTGCGGCGGAGCAAAGTGTTCAAATCGATCCAATGTGGGAACGTGGATACCAACGTGCAGCAGAAGCACATTTGGCTTTAGGGCCCTATGATCATGCCTTGGATGCATACAGGATCCTTCAGAAGGCAATGAATACAATAGATCACCCGGGCGCTGCGCTGAAGAACTTGCACAAGACTACCAAAGAACGAGCCCGTCTGTGGTTTTCACTGCTGAAAGTTGCTCCCAACCAATCAACGATACCAAGGCTACTGGAGTCTGCACTGACCGATCTTAGGATTGCTGTTGCGCAGAGCCTTGGTAACCATGGCAACGGTAATATGCAGAGGGCTGGAGACAGGGTTGTGGAGCAAGTGGCATTGGTGCATGCCGTGCTTCAACTGATCTATTTGCGTCGCAGCCAGTGGGCGCGAGAGAGCGTTGGATCAAACATCGACGTCATCCAAGTTCAGTTTGAGCTGGTACAAATGGCCAAGATTGTACCCTTGGACGTTGTAGTGGCAAGTGAGAGACTCAAGCAATTAGTGTTTGTCGAGGATCCATTCAGTTTCTGGGGTCTAGACCAATTGGATAGGCTCGGTGTTGATTCGATCAAACCGCACGAAAATGATCCCCTCGTAGAGAACGACCATGAATCGGAGAGATTCACGGAATCTATGAAACGCCACAATGACAGCAATACCCTAAGTCTGTCCAATGTCCAAAGCTGCAATGACATGGTGAATGGAAAGGTTGCATTATCTGAAGAACGAGACTTTGCGACGCATCATCGCTGTGCGTTCAGTCTGACAGTGCTGCATAGAGTTTTGCTGACAAGACAGTGTTTTCTCTTTGATGCTGCCATTGACAAGGTCATGGAGTTTGCCTTGCGCCACAGCGACAATATTCTTTTTGCTGGTGGAGAATTCTTAGGCTATGCCATCCACGCGGCATTGGGAATTGGCAAATTTGACATTCCAGATGATGAGAATCGCACGGAGTATATTTTGGGAATTTCAGGCGGCGTTGCTCTGGCAGCCAGGGAAATCAATCAATCCCAGGATGTAAGCTTCTCTATCCAACGTGCTCTCTCGCGGCTAAAACCCTCTGATTGGACACGGCAGAGTGTCGTAGACATCCAGGACCTCTTGCGCTTCTATCTGTTGCCAGCACTAGAGGGTATCAAGTTCGAGATGGATGACAATCAAGAAGACTACATTTCATTCGCTGTTGGAATCATGGCTTCGCTCTTAGATGGTCACCCTGACGTGCTTCACTATTTTGGAACGGGGAAAGCAGGAGAGATCGAAGTAGAGAACGAAGCTTTTTGCAGCGTTTTGCGATTGTTTCCGTATGGCGTCTTTCTGGTTCGACAATACATGCACACAGGGCCAACTCTCCTTGACAAGGGTGTCAAGGCGACAACGAAGAACATCGTTAAGAGGATCACTGATAAGTGGCACAAACTACCACATGAACGAAGATCAGCCTATCGTTGGGAGACTCTGAGTGATGCAACCAAAACAAATCTGGCTTCCATGGCTCCCATCCCGAAAGTAGACATCATGATGGCACAGAGAGAAGGTCAAAATCTCAGAGAAGAGAATGAGATGACGGTGACAAAACTTACAGAGTGCCGCGTCTGTGGCAAGGGCTTTGGCTTGGGAGTGGAGTTGTTCCCTTGCCAGTGTCAGGCTGTTCGCTACTGCGGCACGACATGCCAGCGCCAAGACTGGCCCAAACACAGAGTACGTCTGCAGCGGCAGCTCTTTCCAGTGTTCCTTTGTGTTGGTGCTCACCGTCTTTTGTATTCTTAGAAGATATGCAAGAAGTTTTGTAAGGATCAACCAGCAAAGAACTGCCGGGGCAAATGAACGCCACGATCCAGATCAAAACCTGCGAGATGTGTTGAATCGTTGAAACCTTAGCCATCACACTTGCAGGGATTTTACAGGCCTGGCTCTTGATCTCTATCCGGCCTGCTTCTTTCTCCTATCTATGGCCTTGAGTTACTCTGGATCAGGCGACGAGCTTCCTGCTTCTTCCCCCTATCTATGTCCTTGGCTTGCTCTGGATCAGGCGACGAATTTTTGACGCGGCTCTCGGAATCAAACATGGAACAACAATCCACCAGGTCGACAAGATGGAGACGGACGGTGAAGGTCCAGGAGGAACTATGACCCCTGACCTTTCGCATGTGCGTCTAATTGATCATATGTGTGTGCGAACTTGGATGTAGGACAATGGCCTCTCAATATCCACGATACTCAGCTCCTTTTCAACTTCCGTTCTGCAAACGAACTAGCTAGCTCCTCTAGCTGTACTGAAAGCCTGGAAAGGATCCCTGCAAGCCAGGGCGGAGTTTTTGTGGAAGATGTACAGTCACACAGAGACACGAGAATCCCAAGTTGATGGCAACGGTGGCAGCCTTCGACAAGGATAGTTGATTCGTACCTTCTGATGGGCAAGGACAAAACGGGGAAATTGGCACTTGTGAGTCACTTATCGGTGGACACTCAGGACGACAAGGGAGACGTTCATCATTTGCTCCTTTGAGAAGTCTTGTGCTGTTTCTTTGGCGACCTGGCCAACCTCGTTCCCCTCAAATAGCATCACAGTGGGCAGCGGACAAGGAAGACGTGCTACTTCTAGAGACGAGACGTAGGACAAGACCAAACTGGCTGGGACACAATCCTCCGCCACCACGACGGTTTTCGTAGCGTCCAAAACTGTCCCCGTCATCCCGCCACCGATTCCTCAGCCACCATCACGCCCACGCCAGTTTCCACCACCTCCGATCCGCCTCTGTCAGTAACCGAGAGACAAAGTGTCCTGGATCTGGATCGCAATGCTCATAAGGTGCTCTTCCCGGGCATCAGTTTTTAATGGCATAGCCCAGGAAGAGGACATTGAAGTGACCGTTTGCTTTGGCGTACCAGGTACTCCCGTGTAGCGTGTAGTTCCATTCCATGGATCTGCAAGGTTTGGTTCTTCAGCCTCCAGCCCAATGCAAGATACGAAGATTGAGCTGCACGAGCTTGACACTTTCCAAATATCATGGTCCATGCAAATCCCCTTGGGCGTCTTTGCTTCCGTGGATAGCATGCTTGCCTTCCAAGCCAAAATTCTTTTGCAGCAATGCCTTCGATATTCCTGTGCTACATTTTGTCAAGACACAACTCTCAATTGCCGTTGATCAAGCCAATCACCTATTTTGTCTCCGCGGATTCTGCAGCCCTTCAGCCCTCGAGTTGGTCCCAGTTTGTTGTCCCTGATCCCACATAACCTAGTGCTAGTCCTGAGTTGTGCCTTTCGTTCTCCGAAGAGACTGGGCTGGCTACTGGTCTAGCTAGCTAGCTTGCTACTAGTACAGCTGTAGTACTGTACATGTATGCCGGGTGCACCCTCAGGAAAGAATTTGGTGAAAAAATTCAAATATGCTTTCAATTTTCTTTTCTTCCATTTTATCTCTTCAAATGTTCAAAATTTCGTCTCCATAGAGACGACTTGGATGGGGTTTGGGGGTGAGGTAGGTTTAAAGGTTTAAAGGTGGTGCTTTAGGCAGGCGTGCTACTGTGGACAATTAATTGTATTTTTAAAAATTAGATGATGCAACGACACGGTGGACACCAACGGTTGTAGATACACATAAAAAGACTTAAAGAAGGAAACCCGTGACTTAACGCTTCGATGAGGCAGAGACAGATCATGTTGCTACTACTAGTCTAGTAGTACCGTACAGGACCGTCCGACGGTTTTCAATCAGGATTTTAAAAACTTGAAATTGCCACGACTGATAACCGTTTTTAAACAATCCCTTAAACAATCCCTTAACTCATCAACAATCCTTTAAACAATCCCTTAAAAAACAATCCCTTAACATCAATCCCTTAAATATTGGACTATCCCTTAAACAATCCCTTAACGCCAAATGGAAACACCATACAACTATCCCTTATTGCTTCAACTATCCCTAAAACAATCCCTTATCAAACAATCCCTTAACCAACAATCCCTTAAATCTGCAACAATCCCTTAGACAATCCCTTAACAAACAATCCCTTAAACAATCCCTTACACTTCTGAGTCAGTCGTGTCCGTTTTTAAAGCCTGAGTGAAAACCGTCGAACGGTCCTGTACTCTAGCTACATGTAGCCAGCTAGTACCGTATGATAGTGCCGAACTGTGCTCTGACGGTGCAATTGCCATGGAGTAGTGTACATGTACCTGGTACCGGTACTATCGTTTAGTCTTGGCTCCATTAACACACTGCTGGGCAGTGTCCGATTTTCTTTGCACTGCTCAGCCTACGTAAAAATAAGTACTGAAAAGACGCAAGATGAGTAGAGTCGTAACAACTGCCTAGTAGTATACACTGCCCAGCAGTGGCGACCAGGATGCGAACCACACTGTCAAGCAGTTGTATTCGAATCTTGGCCGTTGTTATTGTTGTTGTTGTTGTTGCTGGTATTCTGTTGACCACCGACGCCTTGCCTGTTGTTGCCGCTACCACCACTATTTTGGCTGCTACCGCCACCAATCTCCTCCATCAAACGCCGCATACCAACCTCATTGTCTTGAAAATCGCTTTTAGAAGGATACTTCCAGTCTTTCTGCCGCTTCCCAGTGACACGCCAATCATCTCGAGCAAGGCCCATGGAAGCAGTGTTGTGGTAATGGAGGAAACATGACAATTTGCCATCGCCAATCCCAGGTTGTGGATACTTGTGCATGGGTTTGCCACACATGTTACAGTATTGGTAGGAGCCCTTTCCACAGAAGACACAGATGAGTCTCTTCGATTGTGGCATTGTCACACAAGACTCGTAGTGTTGGAGGAGAGGCGTGATAAATCCACACAAGCGGTCAGAATGTTTATTGTCGGCTAGCGTGGCTACGCTGACACCAGAGGCTGTCGTTAGGTCGTCTTGGTGCACCTCGCAACGTCGATAACGAGGAGGAGTCTGCGAGCGTGGCCTTTTTGCCTTGCTGATTGCTGTTGTGTCGCGCATCAACTCATCGCCAAGATAATGACAATTTCGAGGAGCATACTGGAGCATCTGTTTGGCCAACTTCTCTCGAAATCGATAGAAGGAAACTGGCTTGTTGATTTTGCAGGCCGACAATCCAGTGAGCTTTCCTTCTGTTACCTCCAAGTACATGTCATACGCAACAACAACCGCCATTGCCTTTGCATGGTTCATTGGAGAATGCCAGTATTTCCAAGAGCTGCGGAGAAGAGAGTGTTAGCAGTTGGATAAGAAAGAACAAGAGATAATAAGAAACTTACCGGTAGCCCATATTGCAGTTTTGAATGAGATGATCTAGCTTGTCCACGCCACCGTAGGTTTTCAAGTAGAGTTGCCGCGCCTCATTCATTTCAATGAACCAGCGGTACTTGTTGCTGCCGCGTCCTCGCTCTTTCTGTGTTACGTAGAGTCCCATCGAGTTAACAGCGTTGACCGAAGCGAAATTACATGAACTGGTGGACTGAAAAGATGTCATCTGGAGAAGGGAATCACCGTGTTCCTTCAAAGCAAAGATGGGCTTCTCGTATCGTGCTGCGCGAGGCCGGGCACTGCCATCTGTCTTCTCCTTACACCAATATTTCGTTGGAACTCCTTTCGGTAGTCGGTCTCTTCGGCATGTCATGGTTAATCCAAAGCCTTCGGTAGCTGCATATTCCATAATTGCGTCGCCACTGAAGAAGTTATCCCATGTGAAGTGAGGTTTTGAAGAGAAGATGATGGGCTTGCGATGTTCTTCTTCCACGTTCTCATCCACTTCAATATGACACTTCAACTTCTCGTAAATCATGCGGACTTCGCTTGGTCCCTTTTGTGAGAAAGCATACTCATGAATCTTGTGCCGGTGAACATAAGCCCTTGGTCTTATGCGATCGACGTCCACCACGATGACAGTTTGACCACCGCGCGATATTCCTGGCTTTCCGAGGACTTGACCAACGACACCAGATCCTGACTCTCCATATCCTTGGTGCCCCCAAGATGTCTCGTCGCCGCAGAGATCCAAGCAGGCTTTCTTGGTGAGGGCGTTGACGTTGTGGCATATGCAACTGTAAATCAGATCATACTTGTAGCAAGGATCGTATCCACGCTGTACTGGCTTCAGCGCCTTGTAGTTATTGCACAGCTTGATTATTCTCTTGATCAATAACCACCTTGTTTTGCCCATGGCGCTGCTGATGAGTTTGCAGAACTGTGCATTTCCTTCTCTCCTGTCAAAGCGACGAAGAATTGCTCCATCGCTCCCACCAAGCACACCATCCTGGATAATGGATCCATCCCAGCGAAGAAACTCTTGAATGGACACGGGGTTGAAGCTGTGAGAGTATCCGTTTCCAAGCTCCAACTCAGACATTGCATAACCATTGCTGTGGACAGCAACATCTTTGTAGAAAGGCATCCGTGGGTCATTCTCATTTCGGGACGTATCGCAGATAGGCAGAATAAGTTGATAAAAGAACAAGGCGTCAGGAGCACCATCCTCTTCCCTCATGCGTTCTTTTGTAAGACCAAGTCGAGAAAGGATCTCGCCATCCAGTTGCCCCTTTCTGCTGTCAGGGAACATGTTCTCTCTTGTGGCACCAGACCGGAAGGTGGGGATTTCCTTCTTCCAACCATCATAGTGGAATTCCCAACCATCAGATATCCTTTGGTCATCTTCGTCAGCTGGGACTGGAGTTGCACCCGTTGGCATAGCGTGGTACAGATATTTCTTCTGCCTGTTGCGACCAGCACCAGTAGCCAAGTACTTCGGACGGAAAGTGAATTCGCTCCAATTGCCTGGATTGTCAACGTCTTCAAATGAGGGTTCTGCACCACTGTTCGCTTGCTTCGCCGCTGCTTTCCAATTCGGTGGAGCTCCAGGTGGCTTCCATGTAGTTGGTGCACCAGACAAACTGATGTTGCGTTTTCCAATTGGATCCGTGGACTTCGTGGGTTCAATGAAAGAGGCAACTGCCGCTAATTCTTCCTCCAACAAAGAAGTGTCAGGTTCTTGCGGCTCAAAATCCATCATGACTTGTCTTGCAAGCTCTCCTTCGTCATCAGAGTCGCAGTTGGGCATCTTGTCGCGACACTGGTTGTCAAAGTCTGCCTCCGATTCTTCTGGTGATGCCTCATCTTCCCTCCCATTATCTGCACTTGTTCCATCCATGGTTCTTGGTGTTGCTGGTGATCTTGGTGCGCAAGCTTGTTGCCGGGAGGACATCCGGTTGTTGTTGTTGTTGCGGTTGCTGACATCTCGAAGTGGTGTCCTCGACGCTGCACTGGCCAATGCTTGAAGTCCACGATTTTGTCCGCTTCTTGTCGAGCTGCTTAAATCTGAGGCATGCGACCATGGCGATGGGGCGCCGCCAACTACGGCAGGTGGATCATTGCCTCTGAGAGGGGGCATGTGAACAGATTCTTCGTCATCCTCGTCAGAGGAGGAAAGGTAGGACGCCATGGCGTGGAGCAGGTTTGTGTTGCAATCGTTGTTTTCGTCATTGTGAGTGGATTCGATTTCGACGAAAAACTCATCCGTGTGAAATCAGTACCGGATCCTACGCGCGCAGATCCACTGCCGGGCAGTCGGTGAACCACATAGACACATCTAGAGCAATATCTATCTTCGTTACTAGACATCTGACTATGAATGGAGCTCCGGATAGCCAAGCTGACAAGCTTTCAGAGGGAAAAAGAGGGCGCGGAGCAGTTGCGCCTCTGTTAACAGATTTTTAGTCTGCAAAGCTAGATTTACTGCCCGGCAGTGCATTCACGGGTCAGCCAAGACTAAACGATAGTAGAGCCACCGCGGCCGGTAGCCGCTTGTTGCATTACATGCAGTGGTAGGGTGTGTCATGGTGGCTCCTAGGAAGCAGGAAGAAGAGAGGGGGGTTTTAGAGTAGGGAAATTATCTACGGAAGCCAGCCAGGGCCAGGCTTAAGCAAAGAACAGTCGAAATTCAGGACTAGGTTCTGTGGATCAGGGGCAAGAAATTGAGGACCATTACGGGGGCAAAGGGTTTGGCTTTGCGGGATCACGGAGACATAAATGGGTAGCTTTCACAAGGGCAATTGAGATACGGGTCTGCATGAAGAACATCATTTGGAGTAGGAAAATTGAGTTTTGGAGGCAGAGCAGAAGCAAGGCGTTGTAAGAGATTTTGGCTTGAGGGGCAAGCAGCCATCCACTGAAACAACAAAGGGGTGAGAAGGAAGCGCGATTGGACTCGCACGATCTTTATATTTGGAAATTTTGTCGCGTTCTTGTTGGGTTAAAACTTTGACGGGATCTTTATTGCGGTAAGAGGCACAGTCAAATCAGTGACACGTACGTCAAATAGCTGTAGTACCTCGTTCAAACAAGCCGCGAATGGAAAGATCACCACGTAAGAGCTCGGGGGCTGGAGGGGGATTAGAGGGGGGGGAGGAAGGGGAGGTAAGGTAGAAATTGGGTGACCGGCAGGGATGTAGGGGCGGAACAGATGGAAGGGGTGGTTCTGATGACGCTAGAGGAACCAAAGCATTCACATGCAATAGAACCAAGTTCATTGCGGATTTCATTATGGCGACGGATGATTAAGCCACCGCGTTTGCAATCCAGAGCATGTGGAACGCTGAAGGGACCAGTACAGCCATCACAAAGAGCTGGAAGAGCTGGGGGGTAAGACCGAACCGGAGAAAGAGAGCATCACGCCATTCTTGAGCAGAGAGGTGAGTGCGTTTGGCAATATCGGGCATGACTGCAAGCCAGGAGCCAGTGCAACGACTGCGATTGAGGCGGGACTGCTCAGCCGGAGTGGAGAGTGGCTTGATGGGTCTCGAAAGCCGCTTGGTAGGCGTTTGATGGCGTTTGGTGGCGCTGATAGACCTTCTTGAGGGCTGTGCGATGGTTTTCAATTCTGAAGGGATGATGTGGGGGCTCAAGGAAGGGGGTGGCAGGGTCGTGGAGGGGGCTAGGGGGGATGGGAATTAAGGGCAAGGGGGCAAGAAGGGATCGGGTAATTTCCGAAGTAATTTCGCGACTGGCAATGTAGCGGAGGGGGGCTTCCGTAATGGGGTTGGGGAGAGAAAGGCCAGCAAACTTGTATGGGAGGGAAGTGAGAGCTCGGGGGGTAGTTCGCTTGAATGAAGGTTCATAAGAGCGGGAAGAAGCTCAAAATCCAGAGCATTTCCAAGGGAAGCCAAGAGTCCGAGGGGACACGAAGACACGTTGCACAAATTCCATTCCATTTGGAGAGACTTTTGGCAGGCAATATAAGCCGACTGGGGGTAGAACTGAGCCACTTCCCAAAGAGATTGAATGCAGGCCGTCCAGTTGTGATTTTGGAATAAACCCAGGAGGAAAGGGCTTTAGGTTCGCCGATATGACCACCGAGAATCTGGCACCATTGGTGACTTGGAGTTGAGAGCCGCGGGTACGCGTAAATTGAGTGGTTGCTGTGTGAAAATTGGCATGTGAGTAATAATTTTGCATTTATTGCGCTGAACAAAGTAGCCGAATGGTTTGCCTAGCCGAATAAGACGGTCTAGAAGAAATTGTAAATCAGTAAATTTGCCGGCAGCATTGCATCATCGGCATACCAGAGATGCAAAAGGTGAGGGAACTCATGGTAAGCCGTTTAATGAGAGGAACTAAGGCTAAACCGTAGCAGTAAATGGCTAAAGGATCACCTTGCACGACTCCAACGGCGCTGAGGATAATGTGAGCTGTTCAGCGGTGGAGTCGTGAAAAATAACAAGGGCCAATGTTTGTAACTGTTTAAGGTAAAGCGGGCGCCTTCAGGGCCAAAGATGGCGAACTGTATAAAGCATGGCAGTTCGATTCAATTCGTTGAAGGCGTTAGAAGCATCTATAATAAGGAAGCCAAAATCAGAGTCGAGACTGTCAGATGAGCCAAGGTGATGATCCCAAACATGATTTGCCGTGTGGACGGCACTTCAATGCCTGCTTTCAAACCAACGGAAAGCTGAGAAGTGCCAGCTGCTGCAGCCGCAGCGGGGCAGCAACAGCGAGGACACATTTGGCAATGTAGCGTCGTTCAATGTTACCAATACCTATGGGGCGTACACCGGGAAATTTATCGAGAGCCATGCCGCGATTGGCATTGAGAGCTCGGATGGCGGCCCAAGGAACCAAGTTGTTGGCTTGCCATTGAGCAAAGAGACCAAACGCAGCTCGAAGTTGGGTACTAGCGCGGCGATAGCGAAGGAGCCAATTTTTGAGAGTTGGACCATCGGTGCCGCCTAGGCCGCAAGCACCGGATAGTTTGCCAGCAACCTGTTCAGAAATTTCAGGGGTAATTTGAAGATCTACAAAGGCTGGTGGGGGAGCATCGAATTTGGGAAGCTGGGCTAAATTAATAGGGGTTGGAGAGGGATGCTTGGATTTGAGAATGTCCAAGACAGACCGCTCGGTGCCCTTGCCGTCATCAGTGTGAGCTGTGGGGAGCAGCACGCCGAATTGTTCACGTGCAGTGATAAAGCGGACAGCTCGGCGCACCTCACCTTGAAGCATGAGATGCTGAAAGCGGCGGGCTCGTTGTTCTGGTGTGCTGGAGCCGCGGCGATCGGAGAGGAAAGACTCCATGGCTTTGTGACATTCGGTAACAAGTGATTCATAAGAAGAAGACTTAGTGTTCTATCGGACATGGCTACACTGCCTTTCTATTATCTTCGGGTCGAATCGGTGTGAAGAGGAAGCAGTCAATCGGTCGCCTCTCTCATGGTCGCTCCCGGGAAGAGCAAAGATAATGAACCATCGAAAGAACGAAAGAAATGTGTCGATCCGTCACTGCCGCCGCTTAAAAAAGAAGAAGAGCAGAGTGTCATGGTGGAGTGATAGCAGCAATAAAAGAAGAGTAGGCCGCTGGTCCTGAGCTCCGGCTGGCTGCTAGTGTCGCCGTTCTTCGATGAGATAGTGTCTGCAACCAACGAAAGAGCGTCTCTGTTGGCTCCCTCTTTAAGCTGGACACCGTATTTAGACAGCCAGCTATTTTTACTCCCTCTTTTAAGCTTTTGACAGCCAATTCAATGCAAGATCCAACCACCACACACCTTTTTAGTTTTCCACCCATGCTATTCCAGGCCGAATTCCTACAAGGCCTGATGTATCTGGCAATAGACTAACAGGGGTAATCTTCCATGCAGGTGTGTGTGGATTGGAGGATCCAATGGTTGCCTCCTCTTGTGGTGGTACCCTTCTTTGATAGTTAGTATCAGGAATGGCTCTAGCAGTCAATTACAGCATAGCATAGCATAGCCGCGAGTTGCTCGTCATACCGGTATCTTCCAGTCAGCGATCGTTCGATCTAAAATGAAAGAGCAGCTCGAACTGTGAACGGAATATCCAAAATGAAGCCTCATGATGTTGTGAGAAGGAGCAGCCAAGCAAGGCCCACAGCTAAGGTTGACTTTGCCTACACACGTATCTTCTTCGACAAGCAAAACTGAGGTGAAGTGGTCAGCCAGGTGGTGGGAGTTGCCATGGCCATGTGCCTGTGGAACCCCTTGGTGGCCCCGTGCGGGCAATGGCAACACGAGAAACATAGTCACGTCAGCACGTCAGCTCCAAAAGTATTTTGCAAGTTGTTGACGGGGCCGCTTGCTTCTTATTCGAAAATGGTAGCTGCTGTATCATGTGTCCCGTGAGCCATAAGAAGCAGTTCGGTAGTGGTATCGGCCGTCGTTGGGTGCGGCAACAGGAGCGCCATGTTAAAATCCAAAAATCGATTTTGGCCAACTCGAAGGGATTGGCAACACAGCCAAGGTTGATTGTTGTCTCTGCCGACGAATGAATCTTCTCCTAAGCTTGGAAATATGGTTGTTCCTGTTGAAGAGGCTTCAATAAACAGCAAGCAAAGAGGTTGTTAGTACCGGTAGCAGGAATGGCTCAACCAGTCAATTCCAGCGGGAGAGTCGAGTCAATTCCAGCGGTACCGGTAGCTGGTTGCGAGTTATACTCACTACTCGTTCTAACCAAAATGAAAGAAAAAAGAATTCGTCCTCTCCGGTCTTCCGAACATCCAAATTGAAGCTATGCACTCTTGAAGAGGGCCTCCCATAATAGTATTAAACTATTAAACTCCCTGTTGGCATTCTGGAATGGTGGCTTCCAGCGGTGTCGGCAACGCACGAACGTGTTGGTGGCAATTTGCCGGTCGGCGGCGGCAACACGAATGCCATTGTGGGATTTGAGGTGAATTTCCTACTGGGTGCTGCGTAGATCAAGTCATTGAGAGGTAGACAGATTGAAAATAAAAAGGATAAAGCTATCGGCAAAGCCTCGAATCGCTGTTGTCGTCGTTACCTGTTGTTATCTCGCAACGTTCGAAATCAATCTTCCAGCGATCTGCTGCTGCCAAGGTATCTTCACTAGCAGTCTCTTCCCCTTTTGAAAAGATAGAGTGTAAATAAAGATAATAATATTTTAGCATCAAAGCCTCATGCACTCAATGGCAAAGCCTCGAGAATACGTCGTTGGCCGTTACCAGCCAACAAGCCCGACTTGTATCTCACAACAAGGATTTCGAAACTCCCAGAAGATGGCCTTGAGGACTTTCTTTCCACTTGCAATGCTGTTCAGTCAATTTTATATGGACCCCTCTTGTTGAATAAATAGTGTTGCTCGATCATGGTGACACCAGCATCACCATGGTGGAGTGGTCCTGGCCAGCCTTTGATTGGATTCAATCGATTCGATTCGATTCATACCGGTAAGCCTGCAGGCTGTCTATCAATTCCAAAAGAACGTGCCATTTGAGCGTGGAGACTCCCAATGTTTACCTTTTGGCCAAAAACAGCGAATCCTGAGATCCAGAGGGCAGCAGCATCATTAATAGCGTGGAATGTTGACGATGATGGAGCGTCCCATGGAGAGGCCCACGGCCTTGGAATATCAGCATATTGAAGCGCTGGAGAAGCTGAAAGTTGGCCTCATGGATGACTTGCGCTTGTTGCGAAAGGAAATGGCCAAGCTGACATCACAAGTTCTGGAGATTCAGAACCAAGCCCAGTCGCTGATGGGAACGTTTGTTGGCGGCACCGCATCCCTCAACCCCGCAATAGCATCACCGCCTCAAGCAGATGGAAACTCAAGAAAACAAGATGGGGAATCGTTGCCTACATGTCGATCTCCGGTCAGACGTGTGAGCGAAGGGGAGACGGAACATCCTGGCAAGTCTTACGCAGACCTGTCATATCCGCCATTCGGTACCCTGTTTCTCCCTTTGCCGGATCCTTTGGAAGATGCACCAAACCAAGCACCGGTACAGACACAGGAGATCTTGCAGGGGACTGTACAACCCGCAGGTGAAGCTGAACCAACGCTCAATCCCCAGAACACCCGAAAAATTGGTGACACAGGTACCGGTACTTCGATCAGTACCGCCAGCGCCAAAGATACCGGTAGTGGCTCCTCCCATCAAGGACCTCCGTTGTGTCTGATTCAAAATGACAATAACGATGGAGACACAGGTACCCCGGTTAGGGGTGAACAAGAAGGAGTTGTGGCTGCAGCAGGGGAGAGCAAACAAAACAACATCCAGAATCAGGCTGTGGGAACACCCCTCCCGACCAGACAGAATCAACCAAACTCGGACACCAACAAGCAAACATCTGATGAATGTTCTTGCACGGACCAATTCGAGCCAATACCAATCTGCATGGATCAAGCGACTCTCGGACCAGGAGGTGCTGATGAAAACAAGCCTACTGATCAAGGATTCGAGCCAATACCAATCTGCATGGAACAAGAGACTCTCGGACCAGGAGGCGCTGATGAAAACAAGCATACTGATGAAGCAGAACATTCAAAGGATTCCTATGAGCCAGTCGCGTTCCACCGAATATATCCGCAAAAGGAAACAGATACTAGTATAGATCAGGGAGGATCCAGTGCTGCTGCCATCGTGTCGCCATCGGATCCACTCAAAACGATGCGTCCATTCACAGTTCTTGACGATGCATTGGACGAATCGTCGCGTGGACGTACCTCGCCTCCCGAAACCACAACAGCGAAGACGGCGACTGGTTGCAATCCAGACAAAAGCAAAGAAAAGGCCAAAACGTGCACTCCAAATGTGTTTGACAAGGAGGAAAACGGCGGTAAGAAGGCACTCGGAGAGGGCGAAAGATCTGAAAACCCGCAGAAGACTGCAGATGTATCGACGCCGACCAAGGTGTCGGCAGTGTCGACACCAAAGACACAAGTTGCTACTCCCAAAACGCGAATCCGACTTCGAATGCCAGAGAAAGCTACTGCCTGCGAGGAAGGGGGCGCTGACAAAGCTGATAGGTCGACAGAACGGATCAGAGATATTGTGCCCAACGGTACGACTGAGAATGAATCAAGAGCAGATGCGACCCCCGCTCACCCCAATAATAGAAAAACAACAACGGAAGTAGAACAGCAACCCTCCAAGAAGAAGCCGAGTCCAGCCTCAAAACAAGAGATGCAAAGAAAGGAGGCCATGAAAAATCTACTGCATCGACAAGAGGCTGAGCTAAGGCAACTGCAAGAGCAACACCAACGCGCCATAGCTGTTCTCGTGCACCATGCCAATGGTGAATCGACAGAAACAGAACGAGAAAAGGAAATGCGACGGCAAAAGGAGCGCTTCTTGATGTTCACCAGAGTGCTTATGAAATACCTCGAGACCAAAGATCGAACATTGCACGGCAAAGTCAAAAAAGTTATCAAAGAATGCGCCGAACGAAACAAGCGACAGGAACCAGGATACGAGTCCGTCACAGCATCCATGAGAGAGAGATTTAAGGAGATCGTTCCAGATGATTACTGGAAACGGGCCGAATCGTATCTAGACCACTTTTTGGCCCAAAAACAAAAAAGAGACAATCAGACCGGAGGTTCATCTTCGTCGCCTTCTGCCAGACCTGTAACTAACGAACAACGACCCCCTGTCAGAGCTGCAGTAGCCCACCGGACTCCCAATGGTTCGAAGCAGCTAACGGCAGTCAGGCAAGTCTATCTCGGGAAGAGAAGGCTCAATACCCCGGACCGCCAGGACGGGAAAAAGAAAGCCAAAGTTTCGCGGTCTCCCATTGCTTCGAAGAAGAAGCTACCCGGACGTGCCTCTCGGAAGGGGAGGCCCAATACCCCCAACCGCCACAACGGGGAAAAGAAAGCCAATGTTTGGACTCCAAGCTAGCTGGGCTACCAGATGCATGTAGTCAGTCTGGTCCAAAACCCGTAGTTTGCCCAGCTCAGTTTCCCTAAGAATCCAGGCCTTTGATGTCAGCTGCATGTCCCGATATCCTTCTCTGGCCCGAAGTCGGTGAACGACAAGGTACGTATATATTCTCCAAATGCCACGATGAGGCTACAATAAAGTTAAACATCTATTCCTATGCTTCCATGTCCTTATCCTATCCAAACAATTAATTCTGCTAGCTAGCTAATCTTCCAGGTCGATAGCTAGCTAGCTAGACCATTCTTTGTCTCTCAATTAATGGATGATTTTCTTTAGAATTTGGTCAAGTCGACATCAAACTTCTTGGCAGCAGCATCAATGGACCCAACTTTGTTGACCGTCTTGATTCCCTTGGTGGATAGACGAAGTCGGACATTTCGGTTCAATTCTTCCGAGAAAAACCTCTTCCACTGCAAGTTGACATGTTGGACCTTCTTGATGCGCTTGTGCGAGAATGTCACCACACGAGCTTGACGGTTGGGTTTCTTTCCCAACAAATCACAGACACGAGCCCTCATGACCAAATTGGAGGAGGGGGTTGTTCTTTGCGACTATATACATAGATTGGTTGGTATTTGTATGTTGTCGCGTTGCATTACGTTGCATTACGTAGTGCACAAAAGGTGAGTGGAAGCAGCAAGAGCAGAGTTAGACAGACAAACGAGTTGGTTGGGGTATCCTCATTCTGAAATCCATCCATGGCTTATGGACAGCCCTTTGCCCCATCAGCGCCACGCAAAAGAATCCACGCTACTACAGCTAGCTAGACATTTGTGTGATCATTCCTTACTTACGGGAGAAGCAGTCTTGAGGACGGGGGAGTATCCGCCAAAGGCCGAAACGGCCGTCATGACCAAGGCCACCAATAGGAGAGAAAGAAGACTCTTTGCCATTGTTGATGCGTTCAATGTCGTTGATTGATGTTTCGTTCCTTGATAGTATCGAAGGTTGTTCGGCTACAGACGACAACAAGAGCAACAGCGACGATGATGTGTTGGTTGATGGCATGACAGCTGCATGCCGTTCGGTGCCGAGAATGCTAACCCAAGTGGTTATGAGCTTCACATGACTGTCTGTGCTTTCATGGAAGTACGTCAGCGTTCAGTCGGGTCGAGTTAAGGACTCGACTCACTCAATCAGGACTGAAAAATGGCTCGGAAAAATTCAAAACTTGGCGCGTTCCCTTTGATATCCAAAAAGCAACGTCCACAAACAACACAAACAACAAACCAACAACAACATTCTAAACCTGCCAAATAAAATCCAACGTCTCGCTGCCTAACCTTTCCCAACGTCCATTCATCACACTGGTAAAGAGGAGAGGTCGAAAACTTAGTCACCGGTACCCAAGCGGACACTCCACTTCCGACCAGGACAGCCTCTCAAGACCCAATCATTCACTTCCGTCTCCACAACCAGTTGCTTTCGGTACCGGTACCAGTAACAATCCCTGTAATCGGAGTGCTCTGTGCTAAGTAACTCTGAACCAATCCTGGGCTGCTCCAGACTAGCTAGACTACCCGGGTACGTTTTGTCGTTCCGCCCGGAAGCCAGGTCCATCCAATCAGTAACACATCAACAGAATTGGGTCGATCGATCAGTGAAACATTCATTCATTACAATTGCAGTCTTCACACAATTCACAATTCACTTGTTTGCCTCATTGATTCACTTCATTCGGCACCAAAAGCAACTCATACAATCTAGTCTATACTCCAGAACGGAACCAAAACAAAACTGCAACAATGGCCGCATGGGACGAAGCAAATTACTATGCCAACTACGATGACGACGGTGACTGGATCGGCTTCCCGCCGGTAGCACCCTGGAATGACTATGGCGATGATGAGGACGACGACGACAGTGAATCCGATGAGATTGATATTCAAGTTTCGCGTGATGAAGAAGAAGAAGAGGATGTTCATCCAAACAGAATCGTCATCCATTGTAAGAGAGTCGACAAGGACGATGATTCGGAAGAAGAAGAGGAGGAAGAAGAAGAGGAAGTCTCCTACCACCAGCTGCAACTAGGCGCGTTGCGACGCAAACTCTTTGTGATTCCCCAAGAAACAGACACTGCATTGGTGTCGTCCTCTGAGATTGCCAGTCGCCACAAGGAAAAGAAGCGGCTGCGAAAAGAAGATTTGATCCAAACCATGGGCCCCCATTTGATCCGAGATTTGGAAACGGAGTTCTATTTGGCGGCGCAGGTCAAGGATGACTGCAATGACGACGACGACGATGATTTGGCAGTAGTACATGTAGTAGTGCCCGTCATGAAAAAGACAACAACAACAAAAGTGGTCAAAGCCACCAAAAAAGCCAAAACAACAACCAAAGTCAAGCCAACCAGAGGAGGACGACGCCGACAGCCCCGACGGGTGTCTGTTGGAAAGTAAACAAATGGCTGCGGGGTGCCCATGAATGATGAATCTTCGTCAATCAGTGCTTCAGCTAACCTCCAACAGCATAGCAGCAAACTACCAGCTGTTTCTTCCTTTTCCTGATCATGTACTTTATATTGTCAAGGTACAGTACAGTACAATAAGCAATAACCAATAGCAACTTCTACTAGCTAGTTTACGAGTAGCACATCTCAGGCAGACGACGTGTCTGCACATGTACCGGCACGGTACTTCCAAACAGTTTGCCAGCAAGATTTATTCCGCACCTCGGTTTGTGTGTTCAGGATACGGCATTGTACGCACCAATGGTGCACACCAGTAGAAAAAGTGCACCCATTAGAGACCAAAATGCTAAGTACCTGGTACCTACCGGTACTAATACTAGTAGTAAGCTATCATTGAATTTCCAAACCCCGGTTCGTTCGTTCTACATGTAGCCCACACCAGCCTTTCATTGATCCCAGAATCCATGAACAAATAATAATAAGATGCAAACGAGGTCACAATTCTGTAGCCTTCTGGCATGAGAAAGCTCGGCAACTCTCAGTGGACTCAACAGCACAACAAGATCACATCATGAGCGTTACTCGTCGCTCACAGTACCATACCGTACCATTGCCATCATCCCGCCCCTTCTTGGCCGGCTGGAACAGCAGCTGTTGGAGCCTGTCCCAGTGGATTCAAAGGGAAGATAGTTTCTAATGAGTGAGGCTGAGGTGGTGAAAATACGCTCAAGATTACTTTCTAATTCTTTGTCTTCTCTGCGTCATCTTTTTGTTAAATCTGGTCGTACATTTTGATCACCTTTCAACGCGAAGACTACAATTTTCACAGTAGACTTTTTACGTGCACCTTTGAACCCTTGAAGGGTTCTCAAAACCGCCCTGAGGGCACAGGTCATTTTACGCCCTTTCACCACCATTTTTTGAACAACTGGCAACCAATTTTGGTGCTCCCAACTATCCGAGGAGGAGCAGAGCGTGGGAAAGAGAGAGAGAGAGAGAGAGAGAGAGAAGTACGCTCTCCCTCACTCCAGTCAGTCCTTAGATGACTGATAGCAGACGGAATAGCGTTGCTAGCACCGGCAGTCAGTTCTTAGGAACCATTTCAGCAAGGATGGCTGACAGTGACCATGTCTCGATCGTCGATGCGACGGACGAGAGTGAAGATGATGAAATGAACGATTTGGACATGAATGACTTGGAGGCATCGGATGTGATTGACGAACCGACGACTCGTCGACGCGGTCGCTCGGACCATTCGGCAAGTCGAAGTCGCAGTCCTCCCAAACACTCGAGCAGCGGCAGTTCGCGGTTTCGACGCACATCGACGGCGCCCCGTACAGCCCAAGCCAATTTATGGGAATCGCGACAAGAAAAACAAGTCGATCAGAGTGTCAATTTAATGGAAACGGCGACATTTGATGCAACACCGCAACGAGGGATTCGTCCCGGCATGTCGTCGGTCCGACAAAAGTCCATGGTGGATATTTTCCTGAGTTCCGACGAACCACAAAGTCGCGGTTCGAATCATAGCTCGGATCTTTATGCCACGGATTATCATGGCAACAATGGTCGCGTTCGAAAATGGAGATTTTTCCTCTTCTTTGTCGCGGCTATTATTGTCATTGTCGTGCTGGTAGTGGCCGTGCCGCAATTTGGATTGATCCATTCCATGACTAGCAGTGACGAAAGTGACAATAACAGTGAAAACCAAAAGACCACCAATCCACCGACAAAGTCACCCACGGCAGCTCCCGACGAAGAAGAAATTGAAGAAGAAGTGTCACTCCCAGCTGGTATCACTCCACCGAAAGAAGATCGCCCATTGCCCGAACCAGATGTAAATCCCGTCACGGAAGAAGAATTGGCAGAGGAAGAATTGGACTTGAACAATGTTCCACAAACCAGTCGGCTCAAAGCGTTTGAATTTTACGTGGTCGATCAGGATGTCACCGACCCGGCGCAACTCGAAATCATGGGATCACCGGCCAAAAAGGCACTCCATTGGATTACCCAAAAAGATCCCGCGCAATTGGAAATTCCAGGATTGGACGGCGATATCGAAGTCTCCAATGCCCAGGCCGAATATGCTCTCTTGCAACGATATGCGCTCGCGGTGTTTTATTATTCGCAACAAGCGGCTTCGAGTTCTACTAGTGACAATTCGGGGGGAAGGCAATTGCAAAAAGACCCGGAAAAATCCGAAGCATTAGCCAATCGAGAAGCATTCGACACGACGTGGTTATCGGCCAACCCCATTTGCATGTGGCGGGGGATCACGTGTGCCGAAGATTTCGAATCGGTACAAGAAATTGACCTATCGCAACACTTGTTACAAGGCAGTATTCCCCGCGAATTATTGGTGGGTGCCGCCATGCCCTTTTTGACCCATATCCATTTAACCGATAATCAACTGGCGGGACCCTTGCCACAAGTGACGGCCCAACGGGACAATGCCGGATCGTCCTTGGGGGTAGCTCCGCACAAGTCTCAATTGCGGGTCATGAAACTGGATCGGAATCAATTGACAGGGAGTTTGGAACATGTCCTGTCGGATTCCTATCCACAATTGAAACAATTGCATCTCTCCAACAATCAATTGACCGGATCCATGCCACAACAGATTCGATATTTGAAATTGTTGGGTGAGTATGAGTAGTACTCTTTTGCTTCGTTCTTTGTCTGTAAAAGTGCTTCCTTGGTTTTGATGTCCTAACCACATTCTATTTCTACCTTTGGCTCGGTTTGTTTCACCTGTATCTATGTGCAGACGTATTGGACGTGAGCAACAACAAACTATCCAGCTCGCTGCCTGCGAGGAGTCTTGGAAGATTGACGTCATTGAGTGAGTAGAAACACAGTGGGTGCAAGGTTGCCTTTGAATGAAAGCATAAACCTGACTGACTCAACCCGGATCCTCCTCTCCTCTACATTTTTTTAACAAAGGGGTACTCGAGTTGGGAAGTAACGGGTTTACGGGCGAGTTGCCAGCAGCCTTCGGGACGTTAACAAACTTGGAGGTGTTGTCGTTGACAGCAAATCAGTTCAAAGGATCCATTCCATCGAGTTATGGAGATCTGACAAACCTGGAAAAGCTAGACCTTGATGGTAATGCAATCGCGAAGAGCGTTCCAACGCAGCTGGGACAACTCGAGAGGTTATGGAGAATGCAGGTAGATGGAAACAGTCTCACTGGTGAAATGCCAGAAGAAGTTTGTGCTCTGCGGACTGCTGGGGCATTGCGCTTCCTGGAGGCAGACTGCACTAGTGGGGATATCACGTGTGAATGTTGTACCGAGTGTTACTAATTTGTTATTTGCTACGGTACGGTACAGTAGCTAGCTAGAGACCAGTCAGGTTGGATCAAGGCTGGGCTCGCTAGTGGTGGCGGTGTTTTGAATGTTTTGTTTGCTAAGATACTTTGTAACTGTGAGAAATATAAAAGTGTTGTGGAGGGTCAGAACACCTTTAGACAAGGAAAGGAAAGTCATGGGTGGTTCTTCGTAGTCTTTGACCAAATCTTCGTTCAAAGTTTCTTGTTTGATGCCTCCACCCCCACAACTGCGTCTGTGAAAACTGAAGCGGGGTATCCCCTGGAAGAGCTGGTCTTCAGTGGCTAGCTAGATAATTCATTGAAGTTTAGGGCTACCATTGCGCCACCTCTCAAGCACAACTACGATGTACGGTGCGAGTGAGTACCTGAAACTAGTACCTCGTTGGCAGGACGTGCGCCGTCCCTGCAACTCATCTGAGAGCCATGATGTAATGCTGAAAGGCAAAATTGGAAGAGATTCGATTCAAGAGAGAGCTAGGACTACTATTAGTTTATGATCCGAAATGCTACTTCTCTCTCTGCTTAATTCTCCTTCATCTTTCTTGACTTCCAGCACTCTGCCCGCCGACGTTTCTTCCGGCGGTGGTTCTAGCAAAAGTCTACGTTATACATTGGTGGATCCTGCCCGTGACATCAGCTCTAGTAGAGCTGAGCAAGCATAGTTTGTTGGGTGGTGGGTTGGTTGGTTGGTCTTGGCCGCGTCGAGTGAAGACTAAACGGATGAGTGACTATCCATGGCAATCTGGTTTTGTCGATTCCGCAGATTGCCCTGTCGATGGCACGCTCTTGGACATTCATCACAGACGCAGGAAAAGAATATTGCTGCTTGGTCTTCCCCAAAGTCGTCGCCTATGTAGCTCAGGACGCATACAGATCGTTTATGCTCATCTTGTTCACTCCCACAGTGCGCTTGAATCCAAACAGTGACGCCGGGTGCTCGAATAATGGATCCGTCTGGACTCGACATGGTAATGTTGCGCGCACAAATGTTTTCCACGTCCTTCAGTGAGCATTCTTCATAGAACTTGGCATTTCGCTCAACGTTTTCCAGAGGTGGTTCTTGAAAGCCATCTACCGTCATTTCTATCGTTCCTAGTAGGAGGAATAGTGTCCAGAAGAGTCTCCTCAGAACCCCTAGGGGTAGTTGTTTCATTATGGTCTCACTACGAGATAGTGAGTTGTTGGATGTGGTTGCTGCCGAAGGGTGCTGAATGTCTCGTCGGGCTAACGGCGATTGAGCTTCTTTCCTCCCCACTCTGACCTACCTAATCAATGACTCCTCTAACTAACAGCGAACCTTTTCAAAGGACAAGAGGATGCAAGAGACGGTGAGATAGGACTGCAGTCGGCGGCACGAGGCACACCGCAAAACAAGCTGAATGAAGACCTAAGAGGGTAGTGTCAACAACGGAAAGATAGTGGACCCACCATGGGCAAACCAGTAACCTTGATTTCTGTTTGACTCAATAACCAAACAGAGCGACTCTGGAAGATCAGTTCGCCAGGTTCAGCCAAGAATTTCACTTGGATGTCGATGCAGCTGAAGAGATGCAAGCAACAAACCGATCCGACTGCAAACACCAGATCTTCGAGGCAAGCGCTGAAAAAGTGAGGCAAGATTAGGCGGAAGATAAGCCACAACAAGAGGATAAAATCTAGATTTGTTGGAGTGTTTACTAACATTTACATTGAAAATGGTTTGTAATAGTGGCGTGATTGCTCAAAATAATGCATATTTTAACACTCTTTATAAACTTACTTCTTCCTTTCAGACTAGAATCAGAATGCGAGTGCCGCAAGCTTTGCCAGATTGTCGAATGGTCTAAGTATCCAAACCTAACACCACCCAGTGAGACACCGATAGTCTTTTGAGGTTTTTAGCTTTGCTTTTGGCTTTGCGACGAGATCGCCATAACACCCGCGAGCTACCGACTGCTGGTTCAGGAGCTTTGGACTGCAGTACGGTTCCCCGCAACCCGGCTCCTATAGCTAGCTAGAGGCTTCTCTTGCCCAACAAAGACGGTGGCTTTGTTCGAGAATCGAGATCGCACCAACGCCCATGATCTATCGGATGCTGGTTCGCACGTCAAGCTTTGGTCCCAACCCGGCTCATTTTTGCTTTCTGCCTGGTAGGCATTTTCTTGGCATAAACAAAGATCGGCGGCTATCTAGCTAGCCACTGTAGCTTTGCATGGGTAGGTACCGGTACCTGTACCGTAGATACCAGTACTCTAACAGCAGCAGAGGTTCGCAGTCACCGTCGACTCAGCCTCAGATACTTTGCGCCCACGTAGATTCTACGAGCACAAAACGGTATATGGTTAATAAATCTTATAGGGTTAACGACTACTTTTTGGCTTAAATCCAGCAATACCGGCTGGAGCCCGACTCGCGCTCAAAGTCAACTGTCACCACCATTCCACCTCGATAAATGCAACCAAACCAACACAATGGCGCTCCTATCCACAATTGCAATCGACGGCATCCAGAGACTGATTAACAAGCTGATAGTGCGCATCTACTTGCGAGGGGTAGAGTGAATGTTCTTGACGTTGGCGAGGCCAGAAATCTGCTGCGACTCGAATCCTGGGTCTTCCTCGAAGCCATCATCTTCCGGTGCTGGTGGCGGCGGGGCATAGTTGTTGGCTCTGCGTCTCTTCCTTCGAGGCTCGGGGTCTGGAGAAGAAGGGATCAGGGACGTGCACGTCCAACCCGTTGTTAGCCGTAGAGAGAATGGTGACAGTCTTGTCATCCTCAGTGAGATCACGACGCAATTGTTGCTGGGCGCTAAGTGATCTTTGCACTAGGTATGCAAATCAAATGAGACACCACTGTTTGAACTCCGCTGGTTTCCAGATATACTTGCCACCAATCGTCACGATGAACGTGAAGTAACGCCCCATCCAATGCCTTGTCGATTTCGTCGCGAAGAGCAGGCCTGGGCTTGACAGAGAGAGCTTGGATTTGTCTTTTTGAAGTCTTCTCGATTGGTTGAGCAGCCATGTTCATTTCTTTCTCCTTGAAAGAGAGCAGAAGAATCTCTTTGTTGAAGAACTCGGTTTGGTTCCGACATGATGGTGTTTTATCAGATGATTGCGCTCGTGTGCGAGATTGTGGCAGCTTTCGATCAAGATAGACAACCAGGACCTTGCATTGGATCGATCCGGGAGTATCCTCACTCGAAAACCGCGGTAAATTTGAATATCAATCGCTTCAAATTGTTTTGGATGGTTTGAATGCTGGAGTAGAGCATGGAAGAGCGAGCGGAAGGAAGAGTCGCTTGGACAAGTAGTTCCAAAAACAACAAGCTACGAGTACGATGAAATGGACTAAATGTGTCCTGCGATGACGGCCAAGAAGCTTTGGAGCTTATCTTCAATCTCCGAGGAGAATCCGATGGATCTCAAGAAACTGTTGTGACTCTACCTTACGATGGAGAGACGGAGATTGCCTGTTGTTTTTGTGAAGCTGCTGCGTTTGCTTCCGGGGTTGTCTTTGACTATTGTCAGGGCCGCGAGTATGGTCATGGATGACTCATTTGGCAGTTACCTTTCCGACTTGAGCGCCCCTTGAAACGAAACCAATATCTCGGTATCGACATCTTGATCTCCCGGTGTTCGAACGTTTCTATCTTCAGCTCCGTTATCTCCTGGCTAGTGATTCCAATGTCCGGAATAGCACGTAATTGATTCTATAACACACTTACTGCAATGCAATAATCTGTGGGGAAAAATAAGTCTATGTCGGTCGGTCGTCGTATGTCGATGACCTAGTTGCTATAGTAGATCTAGAAGAGGGGTGAAAGGAGTATTCGGCTAGCTACCGGTTGCAAGGCAGTTTAAATAGAGAAGACGAAGCCAGTCCGTGCGTGCGAGACTAGTCATAACATATAACAGCTCGCTGTTTTATAATATGTTTAGTGGATACCCTCTTTCGCTCCAAAATGGTGTGCAGTTTGCCTACGTTAAATGGATACCTTCTTTGGTTAGTGCTGTGTTCGAAAGTTTCATCCGCTCTCATCAACAAATGTTTGGAATCGAAGGAGCGTGGAGCGATGCAAGATAGATAGTCGAGATGGCGTTCAAGTCTGTTGCCTCTGCCTCGTCCTCCGGTGCCTTCTTCCTCTCCAATCGTTGGCACTGCAGAGTAGTCTGTTGGTTGCTTGGCGGTACAGCTTTAGCATATCCTCCAGCTTTGAATAGTCATGGGTTAATGGAGGCAGAGCCGTAATCGATTGCACGTAGGTGAGTCTAGCCGCTTTGGCATCCGAGTCGTCAACGTCTTTCTTCCTTCTCTTAATGCCTCGTTTGGTCTCTAACAGCTTTTCTTGCACTTCTTTCTTTTTTCGGGTTGCAGCATGGCGGAGAATGTTCAGTGCTTTCTTCAGATCATCTCGGAAGCACTTCAACCGAGAGTCGTCGCGCTTTCCTTGCTGGTGACACCTCTCCATGATCTCTTCCATATGACTCTTCAAACCTCGGAACCTCTCCAGTGCTGGTCCGAGGTGATTCCATCCGTGAACCTTCATTGGTATGGTTGGCATTAGGCGGTGCCACAAATCGATGCCCAGATTGATTGCTTTTTTGGCATCCGCGACGTCAGGATCTGTCATCGAGCCATACTCTTGATAGCAATAGTGCGCGATCACGTCCATGTATTGAAAGAGCCTCGTGAATCCATCACAGAAGAGCTCCACCTCTTCCTTATCAGCTTTGCACTTCTCCCTTTCATCGTCTGACAATGACTCCAAATGCTGCAGACAGATTTCCTTGATGTCATTCATGATGGGCACAGCATTCCGGAGCAACTTGCGACACTCATTGCCCTCCATCGCTCCACCATGGTAAGAAGAGATGTGCACGTTGTATTGCTTGTCTAGCTTTCTTTGGATGGTCATCCAGAGATCTTGAGTTGTGCGTCCATACTCTTTCTTGTTGTCTTCTAATTGCTTGAGTTGTTTCTTTTTCTGTGTTAGACTTGCTTGAGCTGCTTTGTGGGCTGTGTGAGCCTCATCATACCAAGCCCTTGCTAAGTCCACATACTCTTCATGTCGGATGAAATCTGCCTCGTGTTCATTGTCTTCAAACTGGATGTTTGGATCGCCAACGAGGTCCTCCATGACTGCCATCATCTCATTCAGATGAGACTCGGCGTTTACCAAGTCTTTCCAGCACCCTTCCAATGCAATTTGAGCGTCTGCTTTCTCGAATCTAGCTGTTGTGACTTCCAACGGGACGCTTTCGATTCGATACCATACATATCTTTGCAGGTAATCAAACGGTGTGTTGGCCAACAGAATGACACTATGGAGCGGCGGAGGCAACCAATTCTCAGGCTGAATGCAGTCAATGAGAGGTAATTCCTTGATTCCCGCTTCTCGTGCAATTGTTCGAACGCTCAGCTCTTTACTCTCCAGTTTCCTATATCGTCTTTTCATCAATCTAATCGTCCATATTCTGCCTATCTTCTTAGGGTCGTCTTGAAATTGGCCCCACATCAACTGACACATCCAACAGTGGACGCCAGACATGTTGTCTTTTCCAAGAGATAGAGAATAGAATGCCAAATCTCCCACAGCAAAGAACTCCATCGGCACGGCGCCATGATCTTCCATCAAACGTTTCAAGCCCTGATTAACAGCCTTGGCGATACCACTGGAAATAAGCACCTGACGTGTATCCTTCCGGCATTTGATTTGTCCAATCAGTTGATGCGACTCTTTCCGGATTCTTCTTCCTGCTATGAATAAGATAGAAGTGCACATGCACCCGGAAGGCGCCTTGGCCGTGGTCAGCTGAAATGATTACATGAACCATCGAGTCTGACGGAGACGCCTCTGCTTTGAGCTCATTGCGGACAACCTCGTCTAAAGGCAAGACCCAACCGGATCGATTCGATTTCTGTTCTACAAACTTGAGAACGGTAGGTAACACCGTGACTGCTGCTTCTAGTTTCCTCATCACCCTCTCTGACTGGAGTGGGTTACACCTGTCAGCATTGAAAAACTGTCTCATGAGTCTCCCTTTCTCATAGGTCAAATTCAGCTCCTGAAACATTGCCAGCTGCCGATGTGGATCCATCTTTGGCATTGGCCGAACGTTTGATAGTCGGACGGCATCTTCAAAGGCGTCTGGTTCTTGTTCTTGATGGAGGCATGTGAGAGTAAAGCAGACATCACGACGAGTGAGTTCATCTCCATAAACGACAGCCCCGTAGAATCCGTCGAGATACTTTCGCGCATTCTTTATCAAGGATTATCTCTCTCTCAAA